TAACCAATCGAAGTGACCTATCATTTCAACAAATGCACCACTACCTGTTTCGCGCCACGCACTCGACTATACTGTGCCATTCTATATCTCTCCTGTACTCTGTTGTACGAAATTATCCCCTCTCTGTCTGCCTATCGCTCACTTTTCCCGCGTTACAACTTATTGATATATATTTTTTTGCAAATTATATTTTAAATTCAATTTTCAATTTGTGATAAAATATGATTTAAAAAAAAAGAATTGAAAAAAATCAATGAACTATATACACTATATATGAACTATATACTATATATATACACACACACATACACACACATATATATATAATATCACGAACAGGTGGGTTTAAGTGTAAATTATTTGAATATTGAAGAGCATGAACATGTGAATTGTTTTATTCTTTCCGCGATATCGCTTCATGTCAATTATCGGACGTCAATTACCTTATGTTATGAAAATTCAATCAGTCAGATATTTCAAACATAATACATAATACCATATTCGATAAGGAAATTTCTCTTACTTACATACATACTCTGAAATATAATAATGAGTTGCAATTATGTATTTATTTATTTTAATAATATTAATATTTTTATAATTATTTTTATTATCATATAATCCGCCAAAATAATCAATTTATAATGGAAGGAAAAATTAGAATAATAAATAAAAGTTATTTATTAAAAGAAAAAAAATATTTAGATTATATAATTATGTAATTATAAATAATTGTAAAAAATTTTTTTTTGAAATCTATTATTTAATTTCTAGTTTCGCAATATTCTAGGTAGAATATGAATTATGATGATACCTCTAAATTACAGATCTGCAATACATTGACAAGCATTCATATAAGTATGTTAACATCTATATGCTAATGAAAATTTCGCGTAGTTGTTCACGTGTGACGCGATTATTTCACGTTTTTTTTCAATAAAAGTGATACATTCAATCCATTATGAAACATATTCTTTTTTCTTTTTATGAAGAATTTAATTTGATAAAATAAAGAATATGAATAATTGTCATATAATTTATCGGAATAATTATTTGTTATTATTTAATTATAATTACTTTATGTTATTCTGAGAATTTTCTTTTAATTTTATTAAATTTTTTTTTAAATAAATTGAATTTGTCTTTATTTAAATTTAAATATTAATGAATCTAAAATTATATTCTTTTATTCAAATCATTCTTCAGTCGATATTATTGAATGTCATAATATATTTTCTCTTATATATTACACATTTTACTTTTTTTTTCATGCATCGATAATTATGATTAATATTAATTTATTTCAACAATACATAATAAGTTTGATTTAATTTTGATATTTTAATATCTAAATTCATCGATTAACATCCATGAATGAAGATCTACTTTAAATTATTTAAAAAAATATCCAACTTTATCCTTTATTATCTATTAAATTTACTTTGTTACTGTAATTCAAATTTTTTCTGATTAATTAATGACCATTTTACAATAATTGATGCAATAATTACAAACAATAATCAGAATAAACTCGAATTATCTCTATATGTGACGCGAAAAAATAAATTATTCAAATAACAATAATACTAAATTCAAAATTAACGTAAGTGAATACTCAAAATATTTGTGCAAACTTTAGTCTAGACAAAAAAGAAACCTGTTTAATTTGCTATCGTTTATGTCAGTTTTAAAAATTTTCGGAATTCACTTTGCATATTATGATCGAATTTCGATTTCTATCATTCTGATGATAGAATTATTTTCGATTTAAAAAATAAGTATAATAAAATAAAACAAGTATACAATCTGAAATATATTTATCGTGGAATGATATTTCTGATAAAAAGATGCGCGAAAATGAAAATATCCGATAACATTATTATGTATTGCGGCTATCAATAAAGAATTCTCAACGTGATCATCATTTATCTCGAGACACACAGTCTAACTAACATGTACTTCTACCATTTATCAGAATATCTTATCAATTGTCAATCTCAAAAAGTATTAATCATGAGATTTGGAATTAACAATAAATACTTTTAAAAATTGCAAGAAAAAGAACAACAAACAATTGTTTATTACAATATATTAATGCTTGTTATATTAATGAATGTAATAGATATTAATATATTATAGATATTAATAATATATTTTGATTATTTAAATTATTATAATTATATTATTATAATTATATATATATATTATAATTATTAATTATAATTAATAAGCTTAAACTAATGAAAAAATTAATTTATTTATTATTTGAAAAAACGAAATGGAAAAAATATTTCGAAAAATTAAAGTTTCAAATGTAAAAATACAATAGTCAATTGATTAAAACTTAAAGAATCAATCAATCAATAATCAATCATAATAATATTTCAATTTTTAATTTTTTTTAAAAATAGACATTTTTTAATACAAGTATCAATTTTATTGTTCGTACTGCACACCTTTACAAGATTATTATCTCACATTCACTTTAATCATTCGAGCTTATCGAATATAATTCTTAAATTTATATATGAAGGAAACACAAAACAAAAGTGCGAATAAACTCAAATTAATAATGTAGCATTTGCATATTTTTTTTAAACGAAGATCATTGCTGATATAGGTATCTATTAAAATAAATAATATTCATATATTATTACAACGATAAAAAAGAAAATAATATTTTTAAATATTACAATTACATTTCTGGAAAATTACGATAAATTGCTCGAAAATAAGATTATAAATTTAATTATAATTTCAGATTTTTATGATTGTACATATGCTTACCGTACATATAAACTTATATAATTTGATGGAATTTTTTACAATACAGGTGAGATTAAAGTTTTTTTATTGTAAAGTCTATTGATTGAAAGAAAATAAAATATATATGGATTATAATAAAATATATTTATAAAAAAATATTAGTATATAAATTTTAATTTTTTGCAACATTTTTGATAATATTTATTAATTTTGATCAATGATAAATAAGAGTTTTTATTTAATATAAAATAAAAATTAGAATAAAACTTGTTAAATATTTTTGATAATTGAAAATTTTGTGAGAAAAAAAAAGAAAAAAACTCGTTCATTAGTATTCAAAATACAATATATAATATTAATTCTGAAATTATTTTTTTCCATATTTGTCATGATTTTTTTTTATCATGAGATTAAACTTCTACTTCTAAATTATTTTTTGACTAGTGAATGATCTCAAATTATTTTTCATTTGCATATTTTTATCATGTAATGTATAATTTCATCTTAATGCAAATATCTATCTCATAACTAATGTGACAAAATTACACTTCATAATCACACGATCATATGCCTAGATGTACCATCGTTTAATCAGGGCATATCAAGGTTGATCCAATAGATCTCCATTAGCGTATACATGGATTACATTGTAAAGATCTCATTTATAAAGATTCTAGATCGATTCTACGCTTGTGATTGGCGAGGGCTGATATCCAGGCTAATGTCAGCAAAATTGAGATCATTGCTGATATAGGTATATATCTTCAAGTATCCTTGATTCAATAGTAATAATATAAATTATTTCCAAATTTTCTTTTTTAGATAACTATTTTTTTTTAGATAATTTATATAATTTTTTGCTTTAAGAAAAAAAAATTAAATAGATTTATTAAAAAAATATTTAATTATTTAATATTATATAATATTATAATATGTTATAAAATACATTTTTAATCAATTGTAAATTAATATTCTAAACTATTTTTTAAATTAAAATTAATGATTACCGTTTATAATCAAAAATTTTAATCATATTCAATAGTAAAAAAGAGAAATGAACAATATTTTTCTCAAAGTTATTATTTATCTCGATACAATGATGTTTATCTAAAAATAAATACATTATGAATAATCTTAAAATAACAGTTATCTCGAATATTTAATATTTCATATTTGAATTAAGTATCTTGTTCAATTTTTTGTTGCGCAATAGTAATTTATCTAAATAAATTCGGGAAAGATCAAATATTTTTAGAAATATTAATAATAAATTAATATCATTAAAATATTACAGGAATTTGTTACATTTCAATACGTTGATTCAAGTAAAAAATATATTACTTTTTTATTTATATTCTGTACAAAAATATATAATAAATATTTACATATATGCTGCTATTTCTGAAATAATATTTAACATAATATAAATGTATATAAATAGAGATCTTTTCCAAATTTTTCGATATAAAAATATATTATTATCCGTAATTTTCAGCAGATAATTGAATTTTTTAATAATATCATATCAAAAATATCTAATTTTTATCATTATAATTGCTGAAAATGATATTCATATCTAATTGAGATAACATTTCATCATCAGAATCATTTTCGTCAAGTTTATGCATAGAATTTGAAGTTTCTAATGATTTTTTTTGTGAAAGATTTTTAAATTCTTCTTTTATACCTGATGGAATTGTAAATGCAGAATTTTTTGGGGATAATACATCTATATTTTGAAATTGTAATAATTTAGTTCGTATAGAAGTTACATTCTTTTCTTGTTTACTTTTCACTTTTTCATGACAAGATGGAGAAATAGTTTTTTCAAAACATTTATCGACATTTATTTTTTCAAAAGATGTATTATTTAATACTTTAGGCTCAATTTCTTTAGAATAAATATTTTTTGATGATAAATGTTCAGCATTTATTTGTAAAATCTTGGAACTATGAGAAAGACATTTTTTTTTCATTTATATCTGGAGCAAATCTTTTTAAGTTTTTTAATAAATATTCAGCTCTTTGTTTATCATTATTTTGTAAATTTTCTTCTTCTTTTGTAAATAATTCTTTAGATTTTTGTTGTTCAGTTTCTTCTTTCATATGTTTTACATTTTTAAATTTGGAACTATTAAAATTCTTTTGATTTTGTGAATCTATAATATTACTAGAAGAAATTGAAAAAAATATATCACTATCAAAATTCATTGATTTATTTATATCTTCATTTGTTTCATTCAAATTTATAGAAAAATTGGAATCTGTTTTATTATTATTTTCTACGTTCTCTTTGAAATTTATTAGCTCTGTATTTTTTTTTGAATTAAATGAATATTACTTTTTAGTGGCTCTAATTCTATCGTAGAAATAGAATCTGCTTTTTCTTTCTCTACTATCTTTATCTTTTTATCTAAAATATTTTCAAAAATTGTTTTCATATATTGTGTACGTTCTATTGTACCTTTACTGGTATAAATTGCTAATAAACTTGAAGGTGAAATTAGAATTTGATATTTATTAGAAACAAAAGTTCCAGAAATTCTTAAAAGACCTACATCGTGTAATAATACAACAACATTAGATTCTAATAAACCAGGATATTTAAGTGGTATGTCTCTGTGAAGGATTCCTCGAATATTGTCTGTAAAATCTTTTAAAATAATAGGAGGATTATCATGACTATAATCTATATGTTCAACTATTCCTGCTAAAAATTTAATTTTTGTATTATTGAAACCATTCATATTTGCTATTTTTTTAATAGTGGCAATATTGTGATCTTTCAAAAAATCTTGTGGCAAATCATCTAACATTAATTGCCAAGCACCTTCTGTAAATAAATTTTTTGTATTTTGAGAACAATATTCAGATAAATTATTTGTATTAGTCTCTTTATTTAACATTTCATTTTCTTCTAAGTTATTTAAATATGAAACACAAGGTATATTAGAATCTAAATCATCTGGTAATAAACCGGCTGGTCCTGGAAATTTTCTAATCAGTGTCATCTTTTTATTTTGTGGAGTTTTACATGCAAGCAAATTTTTTATAGAATTATTGGATTGAATATTATTTGTAAACTGTTTTTGTAATGTATTACATGGTAATTGTTTTCTTGAATGTTCAAACATGCATAGTTTGAAATTATCATTATTTAAAGTATTTTCAAATATACTTTTAGAGATTTGAGAATTTATTTTCTTATTTAATGATGTATTTTCTAATTTTTCATTAATATCACTATTATCTTTAATTTTTGTTTGTAACATCAAATTTTTGTAATTGGTATTATCTTCTATAATTTTATCCTGTATATTTTTATTTTTAAGTATTCCAAGTACTAAATCTTTTCTAGGTAATTGATTATTTTTCCATGTATGTATTTGATTGATACGGATGTTTGATGAAATGTTATCATATGATCTTTTTGGATCATTTAACATATTTTTCGATACATTTTTTTGTGATAAATTTTTATTAAATACCCCAAGAATTAAATTCTTTCTTGATTCTTTATTTTCATTATATTTCAATGTAGTTTTGTTAATAATATTTTGTTCCCAACAATCTATATTACAAATAGATGATGAAATTGAATCATCATCAATATCTATTTTACGTCTTTTAGGTTCACTTTCTTGATTATCTTTTTGGGAACAATACTTATTTATTTTATCATCTACATCATTCAAGAAATCCTAAAAATGTTAAATAATAATTTTTAATAAATAATTATTTTTATAAAAACGTTTACATATTATGATATATATTTTATTAAATACAATATTTTAATAATATTTTATTTAATTATTTTATAAAATAAATGATTATTATATAATTTAATACAAATTTTTTTGCGAAAAATGTTTTTAATTTACCTGATCGAAATCCCAATCATCACTTTCAAACATTTTTTTAAGCATTAAACTTTTATTTTAATATATTTTATTTTATATAACATTTGTTTTTTTTATAGCTAATATGATAAATTAAATGACGAATTAATATAAATAATATATAAATAATAGTATATTTTGGATTGATTTGTAAAATGTCAAATATTACAATCATTGATTACATAGTATTAAAGATGGTAGACTTTAAAGAATTTGATCACAATGGTAAATTACATAACATGACAAGCGGATATTTTGAATTTATATGTACTTAAAAAAAATTTCATAAATAGTAAAAATCAAATATCATAGTTAAATAATATTAATTGCATAATATTAATTTATTAAATTTAAATGTACAATATAAATCATAATAACATAATAACATAACATGCTTAATTAAGGATAGATTTATTTAAGAATTGATTTCCTTTATTGTACATATAACATTGCTTGTGCTACATTATCAGCTGTTTCTTTATCAATTAATTTTTCAGCAATTGCTAATCCAAATGCAAATGCTGTTGCAGGACCTCTGCTAGTAATTAAATTATCTAAAAAATTATATTATAAAAATTGTATATTATAAAAATAAAATATTATAAACATAAATAAAATATTTTTAATGACAAATAGAATTCAATGTACAGAAACATACCATCAATAACAACTTATTTTCCAAATATTTATAATAATCCACTAACTGATCTTTCATTGCAGGATAAGATGTAATCTGCTTTCCTTTTGCAATACCATGAGCCTTTAATGCAGTAGGTGCAGCACAAATAGCAGCAATAAGTCTGTTTTCTTGTTGTTGTTGTTGTAATAGTTTTCCCACTTCTGCAGACTATTCAAAACATAAAAGCTAATTAATATATGTTTTTTAAAAAAAAAACATTAATTTTACTTACAGATGCAAAAGCTTTTGAGCCATCTAAACCACCAGGTAATATTACAACATCATATTTTTGATTAATTACATCTTGAAGCTTTGCATCAACATGTATTTTTACATTTCGACTACATTTAACATATGGATTTTCAGTAAGACCAGCTACTGTAACATCAATCTAAAAGTAAATAAATAAATAGATTGTATAAAATTTACATCACAAAATAATCATTTAATTATATATTCATTTAATTTATTAATATTTAAAAAAAAATGATTTTTTATGAAATAATATAATTTTTCATTCATATTTAATAAAATATTTGTATATTTAATATTTATATCTAAAGCATAAATATATAATTTAAGGTTATATGTAATAAGAATATTACTCCAGCTCGTCGTAAAATATCTGTCGTTATTACAGCTTCCATTTCTTCCGAACCATCAGCAATCAATAAAATTGCTGTCTTTTTCGTCATGTCTACAGTATAGTTTGCCTTCAAATTTAAAAGAATTTTGCAAGCTGATCGCGCAAAAAGTGGAAGAACACTACGCAATACTGACATATATATAGATGCCATAAAGAGAGAAAGATTATTTACGCTAAATGCCAATTATTAATGACAGAGTGATTTATATATATATATATATATCTTTAATATATTTTTCATTTTTTATATATTTTTCCTATCATACAAGTAAAAAGATATCATAAAATTAAGTTTAATTAAGTATAAAAAAATAATTTTGATATATTAAAATTTATATAAATATATATAATGTTTTATTTTATAAAATATAAAAAATACAAAAAAAGATATTTTATTTTTATTAATAAAATTATATATAAAAAAAAATAGAAAAATATATTTAAAAAATATATAAAACAATTATAAAATCGTATATAGGACAATATTCGTTAATTTTTTATTCTATAATCTTAAATTTCTATAATCTTAAAATTTGAATGAAAGATCTTCGAAAGATTTTGAATCATATATTCAAATTAAAATACCAATATTATATGAATTGAATATTCATAAATCTTTCTATTTTTTAATAATAATTTTCTATTGAGAAACTTTTAAAATAAAATATAATTTATTATTGGCTTTTTAAATTTTCAAATTGCCACCAGAAAGAATTATGAAAAAGAAGCAGAGGAATGTACGGAATCGGAACGCACCCCTACAGAAGAAAAACGAAACAAAACGCAGTACAAGATGGCTGCGTTTGGGTGTTGTGGCTACTGATTTGTGTAAAATATTCTGTAGTAATCAATGGTTAATTCGTAGTGAATCGTTTAATTTCTATAAGTTGTCTATTAGTATAATTGAGCTTGTGTATAACGTGTACGTGTGAAAACAAGTCGCGTTTGGAGGAACAATGCGAGCACATCGTTGAAACATTTATCACGGGTGAGTTTGCCTTGAAATTTTATGGCTTTCCACTTTATTTTAACGACTCTCCAGAATTCCGCCAAGACAAGGTGCGATGTGACAAAAAATTCTAGTAAATAATTTGCGATCCATCAAAACGATTCAATAATTGACTTATCGTTCACAATCTCATATATCTTTCTTTTCGTATTTTCTGCATACATGACGAAATTGTGTAAATAGCTATTTTTTTTCTGTATCTTCACATTGCACATCGATGAGTCAATGAAAAGTTTTACGATGTCCATCGCTCTTTGGTACGCTTTAATTGCGTTAGAATAATGATAAATCGTTTTAATCCATAAAACTTATTTAAATATTGACTACCGCTTTCACCGTGACTCAAGACCACTTAAAGAAAGTAGATATATGTAATTGCTAGATTGTTAAGATGGGTTGTTAAAAGAGGATTTAGTTCCTTTATAAATTATGAAATTGTAAGAATTCATAGATATAATTTTTTTAGTAATTATATAAATAAAACAATTGATTTTTTCAGGATTTTGTTCATATATATTTTCATTAATTTTATTTATATTGTATGAAATTAAGTTATTGAGGTATTGATGACACAAGTTATATTTATTATAATAAATATAATAAATATTTGATAGTAATGTTTTATTCCTTTTATAGGATACTTTCCATATTTATATTCTATAGTTCGGAGTTTAGAAATATTTTAATTTTAGTTATAAAAATAAAGCCATTAGGGATATATAAAACTGAAGGTATATAAAACAAGGTGCTTCAAAAGAAATGATTATATATTGTTATAAAAATTTATTTCAATATTAAAGGTATTATTTATATAAATTAAATATTATTTGAATAGGAAAGATTATATAACTAGAAAATAAATAAAATATAATGCCATAATAACTGACATCATAGTAAAAAAAAGGGTCATTAATAAAAAAAGAAGCATGTTAGCAGTATTTTTTCTTAAACAGTTATTATAAATATACTGATAGAATGAATATATATATAGTTCAGGGGGTGGATGATAGGAATTTACTGAAAATCCAAGATAGAAGCCACTTGAAACACTGGAGAAAGACGGTGGAGCTTCGGAGGAGGAGGAGATGTCTGCCGGCACCCAGGGCGAGATTCGGGTTGGCCCTTCGCACCAGGTTTGCCATATACCTTGAAAACCTTTTTTGCTACTTAGCTATATTGCACAATGTACCTAACTCAAGGCTTGTTCTCCTGAAATATGTATTTTGAATGTATAGATAAGGCAGAGTTCATCATTGAAGCACCAGGTAATTGTGACATCATTTTTTTCACAATACCTATATGTTCAATGGTAATTACTCCTCATTTATGTATTTCATTTTTCCCTTGTATGTAACTAAAATTAGGACAGTATTTAGGTTATTTGTTAGGTATGTGTATTGTTTCAAAGTTGTTAAAATAATTATAGTTTTAAATAACTGAATATAAAACTATATAAGATGTTTGGAACTGTATTATTAGTAACAATATCTATGTACTATTTGCTATGTACTATGTACTATTTTACTATTATATATTATATGTGAATTAAATAAATTAAACAATTAATTTTTAAGCTTAATTATTTAATAAGAAATCTTTATTTAATACATTGAAATTTTATTTTTAAAATAAATTATAAAATATACATTAATTATCAATAACTCATATATATATATATATAAATTATGAATAATTAAATTAATTTATGAAAAAAATAAATGTATTGAATTAATTTTTATAAGATTATATTATTAATTTGCAATGCTATTCAATGTAGTTATTATTTTCAATTAGTTATATTATTTTCAAATTTTTTACTTTTTGATAAGAATTATTAAAAAAGTGCATGGTGTGTGTACTAGTTCAAAAATTTATAATAATTGAAATATTAGTATTTTCTTAATGTTTGAAATCCATACTTATAGTAAAAAAATTTTAGAAACTTAACTATTTAATTTATTTTATATTTATATATATTAAAAAAAATGAATTGAACAGTAAATGGCACAAATACCTACCTATTCCACATACAGGTTTGTTGTATGCCGATGGTTCAAATAACAATGATAGTTATTCTTTAAGTCATAATAATGATAATTTTTTACTTGCTTAACAGTACAACCACGACACTCAGATCACATCACAAGTACTATCCCTCTGATTGCTACTGTTGCTGGAAGACCCTAAATATGATGAAAGTTATTATGATGAAGCATTCTAACAATAATTTATAGGATATTATTATGTAAGTGTAAGATATTAGTTTTATATATTTATAGTGGTTTTCAGTCACGGTGAAATTAAAAATATTTTATTATTATGTAATAACCCATTGGTTACTTGAACCATCTATGAAATATTAATGTTAGGAAATTTGTGGAGAAGTATTTAAAATATTTAAAATAATCTATATTTTCACTTTTATTATATTTTGTTCTCATCTTTTTTTGTGACGTCATATTGTATTCGTTTGTGAAATAATTGTTTTTCGTTCATTTGCTGTAACTTTCTTTATTTATGTTTATCTTTTCATTGAAAAAGAATATCATAAATGTGCTTTTTGTTCGCGTGCAGATTAACTTTTAGCTTTAATTTGTATACATATGAATATAATTAATTGTTGTCAAATTATTATAAGTTTTAATACATGTATAATAATCATACATTATTTTGAATTTTTCTTATTTTATTATATTCTCATGTTTATATTATATATATATATACATATATTTATGATCATATTTATACATAAATATAAAAGTACTCATGCTACTTCTCGTACTAGTATTGTAACAAACGGAACAGAATGGAAAAAAATTATACTGGCTCGTGTAGTTTCGAAAAGCAAGCCGGAGTATAGGTGCGTACAACTAACTCGCTTTGGCATTGGTGCTAACCACGCACAATCCCGAATTTTGGGTACAGGAATTGGTTTCTTGTCAGGCTCGTTTGCCTGAGTATCGGCCGGGTATACCTCCTGGAGAGCTGCTTCCTGATCCAGAGTTTTCTAAAGAACGAGAAGAGCTAAGATGGATTCCAGCTATGGCATTAGACGGGGATCTTCTGATGTACTTAAGGGCAGCTCGATCTATGGCTGCATTTGCTGGTATGTGTGATGGAGGATCCCCGGATGACGGTTGTGTGGCTGCTTCACGTGACGACACGACTATCAATGCTCTGGATATCTTGCACGACTCTGGCTATGATCCAGGAAGAGCATTGCAAGCTTTGGTTAAATGTCCCGTACCTAAAGGCATCGATAAAAAATGGTCCGAAGAGGAAACTGTAAGTAAACGCAATTAAACCGGAAGATTGATTAGCTTTATTATCATAAATATATGATGTCATTTTATAACTGGAAAAAGAAAGGTCAGACTTACAATTAATAGATCATTAATCTATTTCGTAGAAACGCTTCGTTAAAGGACTTCGACAATTTGGAAAAAATTTCTCAAGGATCAGAAAGGATCTCTTACCTCATAAAGACACGGTAACAAATCTATGTGAAAGAAGAAATTAAAAGAATAAATAGCAAACTCTCTTTTTCTTTATTTTTAGCCGGAATTGGTTGAATTCTATTATTTGTGGAAGAAAACACCAGGAGCGAATAATAATCGACCTCATCGAAGAAGACGACAAGGTTCACTTAGGAGAATTCGTAATACACGTAATTCGCGCGCTGGTACTCCCAAAGAGGAAGTTCCAACTCCGCCCAAAGATACTCCACCAGCTAGTGTCAATCAGAAAGAGCCTGTTTCAGAACCGGAAACTGTACCTGTTGGAACACCTGCGAGCAATAATCCTGGTGGGGAAATTAGTTCTGTAACAGAGGACGATAATTCGGAAGAGGATAGTGATTCTAGAGATACAAACACTAACGGAGCGATACATTCTTGTCAACATTGTTTCTCGACTAATTCAAAGGAATATCAAATAGCTGGTAAGGATAGGTTATTGCTCTGTACGGAATGCAGGACACATTTGAAAAAGACTGGAGAATTACCGCCTGCACCTCCGTATCTGTTCCGCCCTGTGCCTGCGGAATCACCAGATAGCCCAGGGAGAATGCGTACAAGAAATAAGGCTAAGGAAACGCCTAGACCTGCAAGACCACGACGTACAGGTGGAACGGATACTCCTGATCAAGAAAAGCAACAACAACAACAACAAACACCAGACAAGAATAAGAAAAAATCTAATAAATCAGAAACACCAAAAAAGGGTCAAAAACGACCACAGACGGATGACGTGGATGAAGACAAAGAGTCTCAGAAACGGAAACGTCCTGGTGAACGTCCTGAGAGTCCCTCAGAGTCTCTCACAACTGATAGTAACTCTCTCATGGATGAACCTGAGAGAGAAGGAGAAGGTGATACAAATGAAAATCAACCTACTCCGGTTACAGTGCCAACTGAGGAACCTGTTAGTCCGGCAGTAACTACACCGGAAGAACCTTCCGAACCAACGCCAGTTTCTACTCCCGTACCAACACCTATACAGACTTTACCAATTTCTGTTCCTGTTATTCATACTTTAGAAAAGAACCATTATTAGAAGAACCAGTAGAAACGAAAGATCAAATAGAAGATGTTCCTTTAGCTATGAATCAGCCACTAAAATTGGAACCTATGCCAATAGAACCAGCCATGTCTCCATCTAATGAAGATATGAAAGAACCCGAACAACAGCTGAATTTAACTACATCACAGTCATTGAATATAAACGATATGAGTCAAAACATACCACGTAATTTATCGCAATCAATTCAAAATAGTGGTATTTGTACCTCGACTGGTCCACAAAGTATACAGAATTCGCAGATTATGTCTCCGACGCACCAAGGACTGCCACTCAATATGCAGTACACATCCAATGTTCCTCCTGTTCAAAATGTACCGCAAAACTTATCACAAAGTATGCAAATGCCGTCGAATATACCACAAAATATGTCAAATGCGCAAAATATGGGACCAACACAAAATCTTCGAACACATGGTGAAAATTTATCAAATACGCAAAATATGCCTCAAAGCATACCGGGACCACCATTGAATCTCAATATTTCACAAAGTATACCAACGAACATGACTCAAATGCCTCAAATGCCGAGTTCACCACAACCACTTGGTTTAACCGTGATGTCTTCGGAAAATAGGATGTCCGAAAGAATTTCTGATGATAGACTATCTTCGGAACGAATTAGAGATAGAATACCTGAAAGAATACCCGAAAGAATACCAGAGAGATCAGAAAATAATGAACCTGAAAGAAACGAGTCGAATAATTTATTTCAACCTATTCAGCCAAGTGGAATGTTATCAATAGAAAAACCATCTTCAATGTACAATTTAGCTAGTACACCACCGATGGAACCGCAAAATTTGAAAATCAAACAAGAGATCATTCCTCCTGAACCAGATCCACTTCAAAGTTTAAAAGAAGTTAAAGTTCCTGGTTTTCAATCTGGATTTCCAGGCCCAAGTTTAGATAATATTAAAAAAGATCCAGATAGTTCTAGTAAACCGCCGACACCTAGCAAGCACTCCATATCTAGCAGTCAATCTGTACCTCAAATACAATCCGTAGCAGCATCTCCAACTCCAACTCTTCCACCACCACCTACGTCTATACCTCAGCCAGTGATGCATCCAGCCCAACAACCAAGTCCTCATATGGCTCATCCATTCCATCCACATCATCCCTTAATGCATCATTCATTATTTACTGCCATGCATCCATATCATCCTCACGCTTATCCAGGTTATGCTCCAGTTGGAGCTTATCCTTCATTCCCGCCCTATCCATACGGTCCAGTTCCGCATGCAATTCCACCTCCGTCCCCGCAAAGAAGTCAAGAAAGTACAACAATGATGACGGCACATCATTCGAGTACGAGTTCTAGTGTGACGACGAGAGAAGAAGGAGAGAATCTTATAGCTACGCATCACCACTCTTCTACTATGCATCAAGCTACAGCATTGCATCATGATAAATTGTTAACTATTTCTTCTCATAGTTCTCATAGTCATTCTTCATCGCATAGTTCACATAATACTCAACGCAAGCCGTCACTAGTTTCAGCTACATGTTTGACATCTAGTAGTTCGGCCCATCATCATCATAGACCGCCGCAATCTCAACCTCCAATTGTACCAGAACCAAAAATAGAACCTGATTTAGTAGAACAGGAACAAGAAGAGCCACCAAGTCCTCGAGGTCCATCTCCAGAACCCCGAATCGAGGATTCAGAATGTCACAGATCACAATCTGCAATTTTTCTACGACATTGGAATCGAGGCGAAAATAATTCTTGTACCAGAACTGATCTAATGTTCAAACCTGTTCCGGATTCGAAATTAGCAAGAAAACGAGAGGAAAGATCAAGAAAGCAAGCAGAAAGAGAAAGAGAAGAACGTGATAGAGCTGCAGCACAACAAGCTAGAAAAATGACTACACCAGAGAAACAACCAGAGACATGTAAACCACCTAGTCGAGGACCTCTTGAGCCTGTCGTATCTCCTTATGATAGATATGCTGCAAGACCAGGATCTTACGCGGATACACCTGCTTTGAGACAATTATCCGAGTATGCTCGACCACATGCTGCATTTTCCCCTGCTAGACATCCTGCGCCGCCAGATCCAATGTTACATTACATGTATAGTCCTGCAGCTCGTGAACGCTTGGAATTGGAACATTTGGAACGTGAAAAAAGAGAACGAGAAATCAGAGAATTACGCGAACGAGAATTAAATGATCGGCTAAAAGAGGAACTCTTGAAAGGAACACCTAGACCAATGCCAGCACCAGTGGATCCACATTGGCTAGAGATACATCGACGTTATGCGGCTGCAGGACTTGCACCTGGACCTTCAGGTCCTCCTCAAGCTTTACACCAATTCGGTCTTTACGGTGCACCACCGGGACCAAGTCAATTGGAAAGAGAACGTTTAGAAAGATTAGGTAACATTATTTTCTACTTAATATCAAGCTTATCATTTCCTTGAAAATGCGTATCTTTCTTCTCGCATATTGCATTGAACACGAAATTAACTATGAATGAATGATTTTTAGGCTTTCACGACTCGGTTGTTGTTGATTAATATTTCAGATGTAAACTGTGTCTTTTTCAAAATTATAGATAATGAACTTCAATATTCACAAAAAATCAAAATAAAAAGAATACAGTTTACATCCGAAAATTTTGAACAACGATTATAATTATCTGATTGAGATACGATCAAATAGAAGTTTAGGATCTAGATCAATATTGTCCAAGTTAAAATTCCTAAAATTTTTTTTTTTTTTGATTTTGTAAAAATGATTCTTTTTTTAAATGAAATAAAATATACAAATTATCTAATTTACAAATGGACAATGCTGATTTAAAGATAAAGCGAGATAATAGTTATTTTTGAATGTTAGTTGCTTTGATATTTTTATCATAATCAAATAATCAAATAAAATTAAGATATAGTTATTAATTAAAAAATATTAAAAATCTGACAGAAGAGTGCCGCAAAAAAATAAAAAATCCGTTGTAGAGAGAATTATTACTAGTTGGTTAGAATTAAGAGTACGACTGAGACAGTATGTTTGATCGAGGCGCTGTCGGGTTTAGGGATACCGACTGCAGCCGGCGGGGGGCCAGCGGGTGCAGGGGCTGGCCATCCCGTGGCGGCTCATCACCACGGCCAGCTGGACGAGCGACTGGCTCTAGCTGCTGACCCGATGGTCCGGTTGCAGATGGCTGGCATTTCGCCCGAGTATCATGCTCACACTCACGCGCATACGCATGCGCATACGCACTTACACTTACATCCGGGACAGCAGCAGGCCCAGCAACAGGCTCAGCAACAGCAGGAAGCGGCTGCGGCTGCAGCTGGATTCCCCCTGCCTGGTAGGTCCTACAAATTAGGATGTTGAGTACGCTTTCGCACGATGATCGCTCCTTTCATCGACTATATTTTAATGATTAATGATTTAATCTTTATATTTTAAGATCAAAAAAGATTATTTTTGTAAAAATATATTACAATTTTACTTTTAATAATATATAAATATTAGATATTTTGATAGTTTTTAAATCGGATGAAATATTTTTTTATAGTTTAAAAAATATTTATTAAAAAATAATTTTACAATCATAATTTAATTTATTTATTTATATACTTTATTAATTGTATCTAATGCATATTTTTCATAAATATTAAATTATAAAATTAGATTTATATATTTTCTGAGAAACAAATTTATATTTTTATTAGTTTTATATACGTTTATATATTTTTTAAGAAATAAATTTCTTTGATTTTTTTTTTTTTTTTTTTTTTTTTAATTAAAATAACAAGTCTGTGATCGGTAAAGCGATCGATTGCATATAAGCGTACTATACGTGCTTAATCAATTTAATGTCGGTCACTTTAACTTAAATAAAAAGCATCCTAACTATTGCAACAGCTTATCTTTTTTTACGAAAAAATAAATAAACAAATTTTTCTCTGCGGCAAAAGTTTTTTTTGCATTTTTCTGTCGCTTTTCTCGCTATACCATATTATTAACTTGGCACCAGAGCTTTTCGATCATCGAATGCAGCTTCTGGGTGAAGGTACGATTCATCAATAAAAATTCTATGAGTTTTTAATAGCGTAAATTACTTTAAGTAAATTGCAATGATTGCGTGCGTGCGTGTGTATACTAGTGTGAATGGAAACGATACAATGTGTTGATAATACACAAATATTTTAAAATATTATCCGTTTGACGATTCCCTTAAATATTGCATAATATTTGTATAATTTATCAATTTTAAAATAATATAATATCTATATGTTTTTATTATTAAACAATTTTATTATATAAATCTGTAAAAAATTAATTATTTAAGAGTAAAATCTAATTATGCAAATATAAAATTTGAGAGAATTAGTTTTGAGAGAATAAAATAAAAGATATCATTTTAATTTATAATTTCAATCTTATTGTAAAAATTATACGCAAAAGTATATAATAGTAAGATATTCATAGTTTATCGTAATCTATGATAATAAAATTTAATTAATTTTGGACAGATAACAGAAGAAGAAGAAAGTTGCGACAGCTAATAAAAATAAATATCACAAAACAAAATCTCACGCTTTATCATGCATGTCTCTCTATTCATAAATTTCTCAAAGCTTTATTTATCCTATGAAGGCAACAACGCAATCATCTTTTACAATTTACTAATGTTTTATATGTGTATAGCGGCAGCTGGTGCAAATTATCCTCGACCAGGCTTAATGCCCCGTGACCCAGCACTGGCTCTTCATCCCGCAGAACTTCTTGCAAGACCGTATGCGGATATGGCAGCGCATCACGAGCAATTACAACGTCATCTTATGATGGAACGCGATCGATTCCCTCCTCATGCATCACTTGTTGCACACCACGAGGAATATCTAAGGTTCGTCCTTTGAATTCCATACAAAGCTTACAATATGTATGCTTGATTTAGACAATCAGTGTATTGGACTAACAAAGGATGTTTTTTAGACAACAGCGTGAGCGCGAGCTTAAAGTTCGCGCACTGGAAGAAGCTGCACGTGGATCACGTCCTTAAGTGTAATTGTATTTATATATTTTAATAATTATCCTTCATAATTAGGGATGAGACGGTCCTCGTTATAAGTAATTAACGAGTTTCATACGATGATCCTAATGAAAGGAATATCGTAGTTAAAAAAAAAAAAAAGAAAAAAAGAATAAAAAGGAAAAAAAAAGAAAAGGTGCAAAAATAAAAAAAGAATAAACAAAAGAGATCTGCTCAAGATCATTGACTTTACATTTAGGATCAAAAATTATTTTTATGGTTTTCCTTTAATGTTAAGTAATTAATGAAAATAAAAACATAAAGATTGTTACAATGCGTAACTTTTTAGTGTAAATATGACACGATTTAAAATATAGTGCTAGATTGATCTAGCACCACATAGAGGATTAAAGTTTATATATATATATATAGTGACCGCTTGACGTGTAAATTTGTTTGAAATCTCTATATATATATTATATATATTATTGAATCCAAGATATTATTATCATATGCTCAAACGAGATTCGTTTCCGTTTGATTTCATTTTTGACAGCGGTGATAATGCCAAAGTGTTCAGAAAAAAAAGTGGTTCACCGTGTTCCTCCTTTTTTTCTTCGTCCTTCCATGCTTATGCACAGGAAAATAAATTGTTCTTTGTTTGTTTTTCATATACACACATACTCGATTATATATTGACGAATACAAATCGTGTCTTCGAGACGGATAATAATTTTATAATCTTTAGAGTAGCTTCCCGAAAATGTTTAACTGTCTGTGTTTCATGAATGATTCATGAACAATTTTCACAGACTTTCCGTGTTTTAGCGTACCATAAGATATAACTTAAGTTTTAAATAATTATTGTAATTTCTGTGTCAGAAATTTGTATATTTTCTGTGTCACAATTTGTATATTTTCTATATGTATCCTTTTAAGATTTTACTCCGGAGACCATGAGCGTTTGATACTAGTTCGAGCGGCTGATTAATAATTAAAAACAAAATATAAAAAAAATATTAAAAAAAAATAAACTTTGTAACGAAGTGACCAAAGTTAAAAAAAATTTATAGAGAAATCGCATAATCTTCCATGGTCGTGCGCTCCGTGGAATTTACAGAAATATTCTGGGTGCAGGCACTGGAAATTAATGCGTGAAAATTTTTCAGAGAAAAAGAAAAGTAAATACTAAAAGAAATGATCTTTTATTCTGACGACCATTCGAACATGTAAATTTTCTGCTATATATATTAATTCAATGTAATCTAGTTATTTAACTAAGTAAAATATTTCATAGGAACGTCCAGTTTTATCATATTTTTTTTAATCATAAACAATGTTCGAAATGATTTTTAGAATGAAAAATATTGTGCAAATATTGAATGATAAATGTATGTTTTTATTTGCTTGCACTTAAGAAATTGTAATATATTTCTCCTATGTCACACAAATATTGGTGATGAAATTATACATTTTTGTTAATATAATATAATCTCAAACAGACGTTTCCTTTTTTTCTTTTTTCATTAATCTGTTATCAAAGAAATAAGAAAAAAATATGTTAAATGAAAATTTTATGTAATCAAAAGATTGAATCATTGTATAATTTCTTATTACCAGTTTGCCTGTCACTGGATTCCCTGAACAGAAATAAATGCCTGTCTTATAAAAGACTATCTTTTCGTGTATAGTAACTTATATCCTATGCTATTGCATTAAATGAACTTATAAAAAAGACAGTTATAAATCAGTCAGATGCTAACATGAAACTAGACTAATTAGTTTTACACATGGTATTGTTTTTCTTGCTCTTTCTACCGGTTGTCGGTTTTTATTGACCGTAATGTGAAACCCAGTCTCTGACCATTTTATGTAGGAATCATCATATCTGTGTATATTGATACATTTGTGGTTGTAAAAGGAAATGAGTGTTATATTACCATTTAAGAACTATTTCCTATTATGTAGTTACGAAAGTGCAAATTGTTTAGTGAATATTTGAAAGAATAATTGCCAAGATATATATTTAATGAAAACTTTAAACTAGTGATTTTAAATAATTTGCATATTATATACATATATAGAATTATTGTCAATATTAGATAATTTCTCAATAATATTTTTCATATTTTTTTTTTATTAGCAGACAATTTATTCTATTTTATATTTTTTAATTTTGTTATGTACTTTTATTTAGTTCCTGTAAAGAAATGAGTAAGATTATTATTATCTATAAAGAAATTTTATTCAAAATTAAAAATTAAAAATTATTTTTATTATGTATAAAAAAATAATATATAAGTATATTTGTTTTATTTATTTTATTTTGTTATATGTATTTCAGATTATTATTGTTATTATTGTTATTATTATTATTATTATTATTATTATTATTATTATAATGTATTCTGTTTTTCCTAGCAAAGTTTTGTACAAGTGGTTCATTCGCCCCTAATCGGATACACGTGTATTTCACATGTGTATTCATATAATGGGAAGGGATAGGGTGGGAGTTAAAGGCAACACATTGAAAAAGAGGGAATTCTGAAGAAAACTAAGGAAGGCATGACAGCTCAGTCGCTTATAAAATGAGCCACCGGTATAGTCGGACGTCTTTTTTAAGTTAAGTGTGTAACGATTAATTAATAACAATATGACAGCACGAAAGAGAGAAGAATCATCAAAACAACGTTATCAAGCTAATGCACGTGAGAGAGATCGTACTCATAGGTGAAAATAATTTTTATTTTTCTTATAAAAAATTGAAAATTTATTTTTTAATATGATGATGGTAATAAAATAATACTTAATTAATGTATTTGTATTTATTTATATAAAATATTATATCTGAAAGATATAATAATACAGAATAAAAATTGAATTACAATGAGTAAGATATATTATTCAAAGTAATTAGAGGAGTAATTATTTCAATAATTTGAATATTATTATATTAAGATAATTGTAAAATAAAAACCTCTAAATGCTTTGAACAGTGTATAAACAAGATATTCATCTTTTGGTTCAGGAGAACATTCAATAATGCAAAATTCACAAATACTCTTAAGAAGGGTAAAGAATTCAAACGTGAAATTCAAGAAATCCAATCTTCGCTGTGCAGTGTGAACACGGCTTTCAGTGCCTTGAGAACTTTAATACCAACGGAACCCATGGATAGGAAATTATCGAAAATAGAAACATTGAGATTAGCAAGCAGTTACATCAGTCATTTGGGTGCTATTCTTGTTGCCGGTCCTATAGATCAACCCTGCTTACGTATTGAGGGTACTAATGGTGTTTATGAAATAAATCATTGGGCTGATTCACAAACAAGACGGCAAGTTTGCACTTTTTGTCTTGCCATGCACAAAAAATATGTAAGTTAATAATAATAAAATAATTAATGATATAAATACTTATTTTCCATAATATTAATTACTATTTATTATTTACTTATTAAATTTATTTATAAATATTATTACTATATAATACTACTAGAAACTTAAAAAGAAATTGCAATCGCAAAAAATAAGAATTTTTATAATAATAAATAATTTTTTAAATTTTCAGAATTTAAATTTTGCGTCAGGTGTAATTTCAAATTATTAATGGAAATATTTTGTTATTTCTATGAATTTATCATCTGTAGATTAAATAATGTATAAAAATTAAAATTTATTAAAATTTTTTAAATAATTTACTCTATATTTTCTGTATATATAAAAATATTTTATAGTTTAATAAAATTTTTGTTATACATAACATTATTTTTTATTATTATATCTGATTATTGTATCTCTATTAACTTATAGCGTTTATTATATAAATAACAAATAGTGTGATAATTTATAACGTTAAATAAATAATTTTTGAATAAAGAATAAAATCTATGTAGATATGAATAATATAAACTCTTTAGGTTGTATATTCAAACATCATTTGTTATTTATCTTGTAACATTTGAACATCAAATATCCGTATAATTGCTAATACTACTAGATTCAAAGCAGCGTCATCATATATTATTAAATATATTAATTTAAAAAGTATTTGTTTATTATGAAATAAAAATTCACTATACAAATTACTAAATAAATTTATAACATTAATAAACATGAGAAAAATAAATTTGTTAAAATATTGATAAAATGATAAATTTCATATTGACAAGAGCAGTACGGCGGCGAATGTTTCAGTCTTTCGAAGTCAACAATGCTGTGAAGAAGCACATTTTAGTTTTTCTTCCGTTTTCGTTTCTCGTTTCAATTTCAGTGTTTTTATTCGGTTATTCATTGAGGACTAGTTCATAGATAATCATGTTCCTCATTGAGAAGCAGTTCCTCGAATGTTTGTGTATTAAAAATTAGGTAAGTTTTGCAAAGAAAGAAAACTTATACAAACCATAGTAACCGCAATCAATCACCGCCATTATGATAAAATTAAATTTATCCAAAACAAATGATTTTTAAAAGATATAGATTAAAATTAATATTAAAATATGAATATTCATATATCTATGATTAATAATTTAAAATTTTCATTATATGACTATATATAAATCGATATTTGTATTATTAAAACAAAATGTTAAAAATAAATTTTCTAAATATAATTAAAATTTTCACTAAATGAGAATAATCATGATTTAGGAAATTAAGATCTATGGTGTGTTATTTGAGATAAATTTGATAAATATTATATAGACTATTATTATACTGTAAGAATTTTAAAGATTTATTTCTCTCTTCCGAAACGTCTGAGTTCTTATCTACAAGGCTGAAGGTCTGGACGTGTTTGACGAATTGGAAATTTAAAATCAAGAAAATTAGCGCCTTAAACAGCGCGTATGACCGCCATCTTGTAAAAGTGTCTGTAGTGTTTGGAGGTTTAGCGAGAAGGAACAGCAGCTTCGCCGGAGGCTGGAAGTCCTTTTGAAGTGGTTGCAACGGTCCTTGGCAGTCCCTGGGCACCCAGGTGACCTCGTGCGAGGCCAGGGTACCTACAAGCTGCTAGGACAACCTCACGGCCAAAAAGCTCATTTACACGCCCGACTCTCGCGAAGATGGTGAGCATTCTTACACGAAGATTTTCATCTAACCCTCTGACAAATTCGTTTTTCGAATCGTGAGTACATTTTATTTGGAAATATAATGTTACAATTGTATGAGATAGCAATTGTATAGACTGATTTTTTTGTCAAATATTTTCGTTTATTTTATTGTAATTACTGTAGCGAATTTTACCTATTAGACGAACAGTTTTCTCACTTGTCAATATTTTTAGGTAGCGTTAGATTAAAGCAGTCGTTTTGATGATTTTGATATATATCGTTGATAACTTTTTTGTGCTTCTTTCTAATACTTTCATACGTGGATAATGTAGCATAACCTATGTTTATTTATCATCCTATAAAAAAAAATTGATTATAATGTGCAGATCGACGAATTGTTTTTGTTTGCAAACTTTCGGATCATTGACAGCGTAGTAAGTCTCGTATCTATAATTAAAATGTCATATATATCTACAGAAATCGCAATATTTTTGAATTTTTAAATTCCCTCAAGTGTATATTTTTTCTTGATAAACAATATTATCATTTGGTATCTTCATTAAAAAAATAAATATGTTAATTTTTAAAACAAAATATAGAAATATTTTTATTCAAACTTTATATTTTTATGTTCATTGCCTTTTATTATTTTTTTAAAATAAATCACCTTAATTATAAATTTTGAGGTATATAAATATATTTGACATAAAAATCTTATATAATTTTATTTTTATTAAGTTATTCTATATTTATTTCATCCTTTTTTATTATATCCTTATATTATACATAAATATTAGCAGCGTTCTTTTAATATTAGTCATGTTATTTAGAGTTCGGCATCCACGGGTGGAACTGAGGGGTCTAGTCCAGCCTCTAGCCCTGCCTCAGCAACAAGTCTCACCATGGCTGCTCCAAAATATGGTACTTTGGTTCCAAATCGCATCTTTGTAGGCGGCATTTCAGCTAATACCAGTGTAGAAGAACTTGCTCAACTTTTCTCCTCCTACGGCAATGTAAAAGCTACAAAAATAATTGCTGATCGTGCTGGTGTCTCCAAAGGTTATGGATTTGTTACATTTGAAACTGAAGAAGAAGCTAAAAGACTTCAACAAGAGGTTTATAATACATATTTTTTATATAAATTATTTAATATATAAATTTTTTATATAAATGCATATATTTAACATAAATTTAAGATATTCATCAAATTATAATAATAATATTAAATTATTTTGTTTGTAGTCTGAATGCATTGTATTAAGGGAAAGAAAATTAAATATAGCACCTGCAATTAAAAAACAACCTTTCAATAGATCTTTGGATGGTGGTTCTGGATCACCACCCTCTGTGCCTACTAGTACTTATTATTATCCAAATGGTTAGTGTATTTATATTTTATAATTTTATAAATGTAATTGATTTTAATAGTTTTATAAATTTTTTATTATAAAAAATTATTTTTGCTTATTAGGAATGGGACTGACATATCAAAATGGTATGACGTTTTACAATACAACAGCTCCAACACCAACAACACCGATTGCTCCACCAACTGATCCAGCAACTATTTATCAAGCTACCGGAGTGTTTGGTAAATTTCACAAAGAAACATATACATTATAATTTATTCAATTAATTGAACTAATTTATTGAATTAGAATGTTTCTTCTAATCAAACTATTCAATCTTAATAAATAGGGCCACAAGCTGCTGGTCATCAAACTTTCGCGCCTGTGATGTATCCGTGTCCTGCTCCATCTCTGTATATGCCACAACAATATCAATATTCACCTATGCCGGTAGGTAATAAAACAATAAAAGATTGTGCGAACTTCTTTCTCTGATACTACTCCTTTTTAATCTTGGGTCCCTTGTTCACACTTTATCATATGAATTGTCTATGGGTATAGCTTGTACTTATATTAAACGGTAAATCGGTTGCGGTTTGACAGACAAATGGTTTGATGGGAGAAGCCATACCACCGGCGTTTCTACCCAACCCTCAGCAAATGCCTACTTACGTCCTTCTCGACGCTATACAGTATTGAGGTCTAAAGGTACATGGTCTATGCTAAATGACTAGCATGCAACGCATTATCTTTGTGCGTTTACTTTGTCAAACTTTTGCATGGCCTATCAATGCATGCATCACTTATCTTTTTTTCACAATTTATAATTTATATTAATAATTTTACATATAAGTTGTACGTATACAAATGAACGTAAGTTTAATTATTAAATACACATTTATTATGCTTATATCACAAAAAAATTGTATTATGAAATCATGAATGAAATCATACAAAATGTATCACAGTGTAACATTATTGATGATTTCATATTGTTTATATTTTCAAGCGTGCATTTATGTATCTTTCGACTTCTTTCTTTTTATTATTGAATTCTATCACATTTTTATATTGTATACAGACAATATAAAAAAAATATGTATAATATTCATTATGTGATAGCCTTTTATTAGAAGAAAAAAAAAAGAAGAAAAAAAAGAAAAAAATAATATGATGAAAAAAATAAAGGTAAGATATCTAATATTTGAAAATCTTTTTGTTGTCAATAGCAAAGATTTTTATTTCGAAGCATGTATATTGACGTTAATATATTTTTCAAAACAAGATGACTACATATACAATTAATATATAATATTTTTTATTTTAAAGATATTCTATATATATTCATTTCTATATATATTCTTGTTAATAAGAATTAATTCTAATAAGTAATATTTTTCTTTTTGTGTAGTACGAGTGTTATGCAGGGGCAGTTGCCGCCGGAGCTCATCAGTACTTGTATCCTACAAATAACTCACAAAACAATACAAGTGGCGGTAACAGTAATTCTGGAAGTGGTAATAATGGCACAGGAGCGACCAGTCCACCGACGGGTCCTCCACCACCACTTCCATCTTTACCACCACCACCGCCGACACATTTTTATCCTCCTGCCGCTCCACCACCGCATCATCATCCACCGGTGCCTGCAGGTCCTGCGCCTCCTCAGATGGATCATATTTACTATCCTTTCGCAGCCGGGCCCCATCCGCCTCCACCACCACATGCATCCATGGGATTAACTGATCAACAACTACTACTTTTCCCGTCTGATGCCACATGTCAACAAACATCTTCATCTGATGGCCAGGCTGCTCCTCAGGAGGTAAGTTTTTTTCTTTTTTTAGGAATATATAATGTAATAAAAAATTATCAATACAAAATTATAAGGAGGCCAGTACTCTTTATAATTTTGAAACATTATAGGTTTATATAAGATAGGGCACAACGTACAAAATAGCCATGAATACATTTTATTACTTTGTAATTTTTGGAATTTTCTAATGAATATTTTTAGTGAATTATAGATAATAAATTTCAATCTGGAAACAATTCAGTAATGAAAAATTATTTGTTTGATAGATAATATTCAAATTCTCATTATAATATGTTTTACTTTTTTATGATAATTTTTAAAGATTTAATTTTCGAAAAGAAAAAAAACCATATATTTTTATATAATTAATTGTGATATTGGCTTATTTTACACGCATGCAAATTATTTTTGAAATTACTACAGATATAACAATATGTTGTTTTAAATTCCATTATTAATATGCAACTCTCATTTTCGTACAAATGTATCCATAATATCATATTACTCGATCGAATATATTCATTAATTAAGAAAAGAACAACACACACGAAAAACTACCATCTGTAAAATAAATCGCAGGATTCTCGTTCGACATCGAGCCACTCGGAGCAAGCACATGGTGAAACACAGGCTGCTTCAGGGTCAGCCACACCCTTGGTGTCCTTAATGCCCGTGAAATTTCCCATGTCCGGTCGTTACACCAATTATCATCCGATCGCGATACATACCGCCAACTTGTACAGTTCCCAAACGTGTTTAAACGAAACTGACGATTGCAGTGGTAATCAGATGCATTGTAGGGCGATTGTTTATCATCCAGCAGCTGTTTACATTCCTCATACACATACACCTCCATTTCATAATGCATCCGGTGGTACAAGTCTGTTGCCAACACCGCCATCCGTATCACAGCAATTATTTGATTCGACCAACAAGAATCAGTGCTTCAATTCTAGAGATTACACGAAATCCGGCAGTGTAAACACCCTAAATAATTATTCGAAATCGCAAAATCACGGGATCGCGTTATCGCATCAAAATCCGTTCGTTCGAGCTCAAAACTTGGGGAATTCTCAGCCGTACAAACATAATAACTTAGACGGAGGTTATAAATATACGACGCCGGCAATGAGCTCGCGATTCTCCATGCAGTATAACAAAAAGGCGGCTGGTTCGAACGTGGGCTCACCGGCTTGCTTCATAGCACAAAAATCATCGGAGAATTATAATTCAACTCAGAAGTCGGCTGTTTTCGGATCGAATTCAACCGGTGGACAGCCGTATAATTGCACGAATTCACAGAAAATGTTCAACCCGGCAACGAATTTTGATTACGCGAATAATCGTAAAAATAACACTGGTGGGGATCAGTATTTCGAGAATACGGCGAAATCGAATAATTATTCTACCCGTAAAAATACGACGAGCTATAGGAACAATGGGGTGATTGGCGGACAAACCGAGGGAAGTAACAATTCAAATAGTCAATCGAATGATAAATACGCGACTAATATCGAAAACGAGAATAGTACTTCGCAGGGTATACAAGGGACGGAGAATAATAGTTCGGAGAAGCCGGTGAGCCCACCACCAGCACCATATTCGCCCATGACAAGACCCCTTCCAACTTTGTCACCACCCACCTCCCAGGTCCAGTTCTACAATCCGGCGCAAAACCGTTATCAGCCATCCTTAGCCCCGTCTCAACATCAGCAGCCACAGCAGACGAATACTCAGCGTCGTTACACCATCGCTCCTGCGTTGTCTGCAAGCAGAAAACCGACGGAGAAGTATACTAATTCCGGTTCCCAGCCAACCACCACGACAATGTTACGACAAAGCAAGTACAAGGTGAACGGAATTATGCAGACGGGTAACAAAGTGACGGATGATAGTTTGGGAGGAGCTGGAGATGCTCCACCTGGTGTTGGAAGAATGCCTATAACACCACCGGGAACACCAAGGACTCATCCAGGTCATCCTGCTGGCGATCAGGGTCAGCTGAGCGATACGTGCCATCAGATGCAAGCTCTGAGCCTTTGAACTCGTTTTCTCGATATATACATACATAGAAACGTGTATGTATAAACAGGCTCGATTCGTTTTTCCTCCCTTTCTTCTTCTTTCGGTCCTAACCGTACGTGTAATAACGATGCGTACGCGTTTATATATAGGTTAGAATAGATAGATAAAAATATAGATTAGGTAGATAGATGATGCATCTCGATTTCGAAGCCGTATGAAAAAGCAAGCAAAAACAGAATGGAAAGCATGCCGATTCACGGACGATCCCTATATATTTTGAAAACTGCATAGAAACATGAGCGCGAACGGATACAAATATCTGAAACATGTTTGCTCTATTCTCTTGTGATCTCAATCCCAAATCCCAAATTAAAAAGATACGATATAAAAAGAAAAAGAAACAGAAATAAAAAAAAGATGAAGAAAAATAATTAAATAAACTTCATATGTAAGTGTAAATTAATGCTCTTCGGTAAATTATTAAACATTACTAAATTGTTAAGCATTTATAAAAAATATATTATATATATTATATATATATATATATATATAAGAATAAAAATACGATAAAAGATTATTATATTAGTTATAAAAGAAAAACGATATACACGATTAATATATATATTACATATATATATATATACATATACTGAAATATATTGTATATATATAAATATGTATATATATGCATGTATTTATCGAAGAGAACAGATATAATTAGAATAATGAGTGAAATAAGGAAAAAAAATTCGAAGTCAAGCTACAATATTATATATATATCTCTTTAACAAGAATCGAAATGTTTAACGAAAGAGAGACGAAGAAAAAAAAATTCTATCTTAATAGATATACAGATATGCTACATTATTTAAAATCTATATATGTTATATATGCAGTATTTAATGTTTATGCGCGATAGGCTCGATAAACCATTGAATCTCACGAGCAAGGCTAGAGTAGGATAGATGGATTACAAACAGAACAGAAGAAAATAAACAAAAAAAGAAAAATATATATATGGTAACAACAAATAATATGTTATTATCGTACAAAGAAGAAGCGATTTGTTATGTGTTCAAAGAAAAAAAAATGGTAGTGACGTTGATGATAATGAAGCGGAAGGGTAATAAGGTGGCGAAAATAGAATTGATTTCATAAAACGGTTGCTCAAGGCACTGCCACATCTCTCAGTTTTGATTTTCTACCTGAAACAAGGTAAAACCAAGTACTTATAGTTTGATTAGAGTAACCGTGAACACATTCTCACGCATTTCGAGACACTATAGTAGGAAAAATATACTAATTTATTTGTTCTTTTTTTCTTTATAATAGTAATTATCCACGTAAACAGGAGAAAAAAATATTTAGAAAAAAAAAAAAAGAAAAAAACAGAAGAACGTAAAATAGCTATTACAAAAATGAAAAAATGAAAAAAAGAAAAAAAAGAGATGCCCCAAATACCCGAAAATGAATAAGATAAAAAATACAGTTTAAAAGAACAAAAAAAAGTATGTAATAATGAATTAAATAAATGTGTCGGCTGTGAGCTTCCAAGCAAATAACAATAATTAAATTATTATAATATAAAAGGTTAAATAATATTCTACCTAATTGTTATAACGTATAAATTTCTTTTATCTATAACGAGAAATTTGTTATCTCATATCTCGCATATTGTAGCTATTATTGTCTATTTAAATGAGGAAAATGGAAAATGATAACGAACTAAAGATTTGTGGCGCTGTGATTTAGATGTCGCGGCGAAATATATGTATAGCGATTGAGAAAAAAGTTTATGGGGAAAAAATAAAAAAAAGGGAAAAGAGGAAGAGAGTAAGAAACAAATATATTTGAGGGATCCGTAGACGAAACGATAAAGGCCTAGAACGCATATAGATTACCCGTGAGTCGTTACGAAAAGAAATTAATTTGTTGATAAAAAAAATGTAAGAGTGCCTTCTATTTGTTTTCGTGATTGTATTGTTGAACATTTGTTGCGTTATGTTCCAAGAGCCTCTAATGTTGTTATAAGAAAAAAAATGTTTGATAAATGTTGTTCCTCTATTTATTTATTGATTTACGGACCTGCATGGCCCAAACCAGCACCCAACGAATTTAAAAGTGTGAAAGTATGTGCTGTTAGGAAAATGGAATTCAGAAATGGAAACTAAACTTAAAAAGCGAAATGATTTTATGGAAATAAGATAGAAAAGAAAAAAAGTTAGCGAATACATAAAAAACAGAAAACATCGCATACGGCATTCGAGTCGCATGACCCCCTTTTTTCTTATTATTATCATCATTATAATTATTATTACTATTATTATTATTATTATTATTATTATTATTATGGTTATTATTATTATTACTATTATTATCATTATCATTATTATTATTATGATCATAAAAGAAGAAAACGATATTATACATATGTAATCGAAATGGAAAAATGATAAAAGCAAAAAAAAGGAACAGAGCAGCTCGTTTCGGCACTTATTTCTATGTATAATACACAACAAGATATCTCAGCAATATACAAATATAAATATATACATATAGATATATATATATAAATATTAACGAACGAAGATAAATAAAACGTATACCGGAGGTATATGGAATGCGAATGCGATAGGTGCGTATTTGGGTGTGCGTGAGCGCGTATCTGGATAGAGGTGGCTGTGATTATTGCGTGCAAGTTAGAAATGTAAAACAGAAAACATGAGAAAAGAAGACAGTTTACGTGTGTAAGCATTCGTGTGTAAGTGCATTAAAGTTGTCTCTCTCACACACATATACACACTACACACGCATATTTCATACACGTATACATACCTAATAAATAAATAAATTAATGAATATATATAAATATATACGTCTATAACGAGAGATAATATGAAAGCAAAGTACAATTCTATGTTCAGTTTGGTACTGGTTTAACTAGCGAACGAAACGTATATTAAGAAACGAGTCGTTTATTGCAATTATTATACGTGTACTAAATTCAACGTAGAATGGTGCTGATAATAAAATATAATATATACTTCGCAAAGTATATTATAATATAAAAGGAGTCTAAGATAGATATTAGCGGGTATGCGTAGTTGAATATAGAAATATAATTGATGTATATTATATACACACAGTGTAAGAGCGGTGTGCTTTCTACGATTGTGGATTATTATATGTTCATACTACGTTACGTGAAATAGATTTTATCATCACATAATGAAAGATTTTTGTTATTCCACGAGTAGCTATTTATTTTTTTATTAATTCGATCTTTTTGCTAAATTTCTTTTGCTTGTAGTATATTGCTAGAATAAGACTAGCAAGCTTGCAATAATTCAGTATTGTTAAGTGAATTATATTAAATACTTATAAAATAATGAATCTATATGGTGCAATCTCAAGAAATATATTAATTAGATTTTTTTGTTTTGTTTACCAATTAGTGATTGCACTATTGTAGTTTAAAAACTATATGTATAAGAGTCTATTGAGTTCATTTTCTTAAAAGTAATTATAAGTAAGATACATTCCACAATCTATAAAGCATGCCTCCTAAAACACAGAAATTGATGTATTAAGAAAAGAAAACATAAATTATACATAAAATGACATGTAGGTTGTACAACAAAAAATCTAAGTACTCAAAGATAATAAAAAAATATATTACGTATAAGAGATGCATATATTTAAAAACAAAATAAAAACATCTGTGCATGAACATTATATAGATGGAAGAGCCATAGCAAGAAAAGGTATAGATTAAAATAAGTACGAATCTCTCCTGCAAATATATAATAAAATCTCATTAAAGATATGAAATATACAATGCTCCAGTACATATATATTGTATTTATGTATTTACCTTTCTCATTTAGTTGATTTATTTCTAATTCTTTTCAAAGTGATAAAAATAATTTAATTAATGAATAATTAATTAAAAATATGCATTATTTTTAAATATATTTAGTGTTTTATTCAATATTTGTTCCAATAATACATTTTGTAATTAAGTCTAAATATATTTAGTCTTTTTACTTACTAAGTAAATAATATAATTTAAGATATTTGCATTAATACATTGTATTAATTCTATCCTATCACACGATTTACCATAAAACGTAAATCTAAATATGTTATTGATTCAATATATGAGAATAATCATTTTAGATCAATAGAAAAAAGCATATAAATTACAAAATTTCTACTCTACATTATTAATATTGTGTGAATAGTCATAGTTATATAAATTTAATGTTCTTAACAATAAGAATAGAATACTTTATTTTAATATTATATGTGATATTCTACTAAAATCACATTAAACATCAGTAGTTGATCATTTATTACAAGGAATTAATTTCGAATAGATTTTATATGTTAAAATTTTTTTGCTTAAATATTTATAATTAATTTTTCGAAATTCTTTCTCTTGAAACATGGCAGTATAAAGGCAGTAATATTATTTGGATTTTAAAATTCTTTCAAATCTGCATCAATCACGATTCAATGTACATACATATAGATGTACCAATTTCAAAGTATAATTCTTTAAAAAAAGTATACAAATATTATGAATATATATTTGGTGTAATTAAATGATGAGAAGATTGCTCATATTTAATTATTGAAATCGTTTTGATTAAAAAATATTTTAAGAATATATAAAATGTCAGATATTATAAATATTTATAAACATTATGTTATCTCTAAACATTAAAAATTCGTAAAACGGCAATTATAAATTTGACAATTTAATATATAATTGTAATTATTATATTTATGCCATTTATAATTCAGTTGTCATATGTGATGTTAATGCTTGCACACGAGTAGCATTACAACTTTTGCATAATACATGATCATCCAAAGGATAGCAGCCACGTCCTTCAGAATCAGAAGATAAAATCAATCCACAATCTTCACATTTATAGCACTGAATATGAAAACTACGATCTAGTGCTACAACACGTACAGTTTCATCTTGACCTGGTTCTGGCATAATTGGTAACTTACAAACGCAACAACGAGGTGCAAATTTTCTATAATATAAAAATATTAATTTAAAATTATAAAATTAATTATTTTATTTGATAATTATCAATTAAAATATTACTTACTTGTGGAAACATTGTATACAATGAATTTGATTTGTAGCATCTACTGTAAATGGTATGCCATCCAAACTTTGTCCACAAACTACACATGTAAAACAGGATGGATGATAAGGTTTTCCAGTGGCTCTTAATATTCTATCAAGTATTGGTCTTGTGCAAACACAACACTTTTCTAAAGTATTTAAGTAATCCTCTTCGCAATAAGGTTTGTTTTCAAGTGAATAAAAAGGTTTACCCTGTAGATTAACTTTACAAACATAACAACAGAAACAATCAATATGAAACACCTTATCCATCGCGGAACAACCGGTACCTTCGCCTTCAACTTTACGACCACATTGTGCACAAATTCCATATATATCATTATCTTCGGCATTATCTTCCATTCCTTGAACCAACAGATCAGTGAGAACATCCACCTAAATCAAATATAATTTTTAAAAATCAGTTTTTTTATAACAAAAAAGTTAATATATATATATATATATATTATTACATACTTCTTTAACGGGAGATACTTTTCCTTGAGGTTGGGTAGATGTAGCAGATCCATAACCAGAGTACATAGAATAATTACAAGATAATTGTGATGGTGGTCTAGGATTAATTGGTTCATATATAGATTCATATGTAGAACTGGATTGTGAACTTGGACCATAAATATCATTTGGATAATTATCAGATGGAAAATCAGTTTGATAAGTAGCACGTCTTAATTCACTATAACTAGACGATACTGGACTTGGTGGAGGTGGTAATTCTTCTGGTGGTGGTGGAAAAGAACTACCTGGTACACATGGAACATATTCGGAAGGTTCTGGTGGTGGTGGTAAATCATCTGTAACATATAATATTTAATATTTACTTAGTAATTAAACTAATAAAAATAATTTATAAAAAATTATTCTTCATAACTGACCATTACTATGTGCAGAAGAAATATTACAATATGTGTTTTCTGGCTTAGAATTCCATTGAATATTGCTATAAATTATGTCTTTTTCAGTTTTAGTTGTTTTATTAATTGGTATAGATATTGGAGGATCTATATTGCTATATACAATGTTTCTTGTTGATCTTGAATGATCTTCAATTGGAACTTGAGGAGCTGGCATATTGCTAATATTTGAATAATGATTTTTTTCATCATATCCATATTTTGGCTCAAATTTCTCATCTGATTGATGAATATAGAAATTTTCGTTATTCTGATAATTTTTGGAAATATCTTTTCCATTTGCAGTAGATGAAAAATCATTTTTCTCCATATTTAATAGCACATATGGTGAAGGAGAATTTACATACAAATTTGATGGTTTTTCATTTTGTCCAGAATTATTAAGTACTGTACTATATGATGGCACAGATGCAGCCTTTATGGTATAACTTTGTGGTACCTGAAAAATATTTTATATAATTAAATTCTATATAATTAGATTATTTGAAAAAATGTATTCTTCTTAATTTTACCATTGATGTTTCCATAATGATGGAACAGTCATGAAAAAAAAATATGATGTCGTTAATAATAAAATTATACTTATATAATATACTGACCTGTGGCTGAGATTTTTTTGGTTTTGGAGGTACAGCTGGTCCAACTTTTTTTCCAGATTTGATAGTTTTAATACCATCTCCATGATTAATTTGCAAATTTGCAATTTGTTGCTCCAAATTACTAACATTAGACATTTTTCTACAAGCAACATATACATATTTTTAATTTTTTTTTTATATTATATGAAATATATGAATTTAATAAGAATTAATGTGAAAAAATTAATAAAGAATTATATAAACAAATATAGATATATTATATTTATGTTTAAAATAGTACAATATAATTGGTAACGTTATCGCAATAAATTATCAGTTTGATTTTGTATTTATCAAGTAAAACTATATGCTACCTGTATACTTCTATTACAAAATGGAACTTACACCATTGAAAAAATCATTAATCTTACCTGGTAAGTTAATAAACCGTTATTTTTTTTTGTAAATGTTTTGTATAAAATAATTTTTTCGAAATCAAAATAAATAAAAAATTTTTAAGAAAATCAGATATGCTCTGCACTTAACCGTGACACAACTGAATGGCTGACTCATAAATCTCTTATCTTGTAGCTCTAAAAATTCCTTTACAATGACTTTTTCGTATATATAAATTTTAATAACTATAGTTTTCTTTCTCTTTTATAGTTTTCAACATTCAACCAATAATTAAGATAGCGTGTTTATTGCTTAAAAAAAAAAGAAATTATCGATAATTTTAATGTATGTACATATTTGAATAGTCTAATTAATAATTCTTTATTATTTTGTGAAGAGATTTGGGCAATTACAACACATTTATTTTCAAACAAACTTCACCACACCCTAAATTGTACATCACAATATTGCACATTATTATATAGTTCAATTAAATGAAAAAAAAAATGTCTCTGATCCAAATGTTATAAGTTCATTTGATGCACATTTGTCACTAGGGATTTCAACTGTGAAAATTTAATATATTTAATGATTTTTAATCAAATAATTTATAAAATTATATAATTTTAAATTCTAATGTAAATAAATTATTTTCCGTTTTTAAAAAGATTAAATGAAATTTAATTATTTTTGTTTCTTTTCTTTATTTTTTTTTTAATATTAATTTCTTTTAAATACGTAATAACGTGAAAGTAATATGAATTACGCAAATTAATATTCAGCGCCATTTTTGAAAATATAGTTTTGATGTAATATAAACATTTTTGCAATTAAATAATAAAAAAGTAATTTTTAGTTTACTTGACTTCATTCTCTACTATTACGTTTCTGTATTATTTAAAATATTAATAAAATATTAATAAATATTAATATAATATATATATTAATATATATATGTTTTTAAACATTAATAATATAGTTTCTATGTCCAATGTTAAAAGCTAGCTTATTAATGTTTAATATATTTTTATTTTTATTACATATATGTTTTAAAAACTTCATATTTAATAAACAAGTTTTAGCAGATTATTTTAGCAGATACAAAAAATGCTTTACAGAAATAATATTTTAAAAATGTATTATTATAATTATTATAATTATATTTATTATTATAATTATCCAATATACTATAAAAATAATTGACTACTGAATAATTAAAAATTATTCTAGTTTTAATTTGTTTTTTAAAATTTTTTCAAAAGTCATTAAAATATTTACAACATTATACATACATAACAAAAAGATTTTCTATTATTGCAAATATTCATTTATATTTATTTATTAAAGTCAAGGAAACTATATATTATTTTTCTAACAAACTAATATATGATTCTAAAAAATATTTTTATCAAAGATATATATATATATTATAATTCTTATTAATCATATAATAATTATTTAATGAATAAATATTGATAAGTAAACATTTATATTAACATATAAGAGAGACATACATTTTCAATTATTTTGTAATTATAAATATATAAAAATAATATAAATATATTAATTATAAATTAGATTATATGTTAAAATTCTTATATTCTATTTGTAATTATATTTTTTATTCGATTTATTGTATTTATAATTATTATTTATAATTTATTAATATTTATTTATGTATATTATGTACTTACTTTAATTTACGTTTTATTTTCGTATCATCAAATTATTATTTATTATCATTAATTTATTTTTATTTTAAAACAAATTTTTTATATATACAATTTTGAAAGTTCTTTTATTGTGATAGAGAAATAAATAGATAATAATAATAAACAGATCATAAAATTCAGATTTTAGATAATATTTTTAAACAATTAGACTTATTACAATACTAGCATTATATTAAAAAATGTTTAACTATAAATGTTCAACTAAAAAAATTAACAAAATTAACATTAGAAAATTTAAAAAAATATAAGTTAAAAAAAAAGATTAGAATGCTTTAAAGGAATTATTTTAATTTTATATTTACATTAACATTTAAAAATATATATTTAAAAATATAAAATATTTATTTTAAAATAAAAATTTAAAATTAATAATCGATGAGTTTTTTCTCAATTCAATAATAAATTTTCCTTGTTTACTGGGATTATCCCATATTATTCATAGTAATGAAGTTACTGTCTTTTATAATTTATGTACTAAATGTTACCGATAACAATTATTTTTATCTCAATGAATATAAATTATGATATATTTTTTAACTATTATTAACTTTTATTTAGTTGTTTAAGAAAAAATTATCCTTTTGCAATTTTTATTTGACTATTTTTTTTAATTTTTTGATAAATTACAATAACTAATTTATTATATAATAAATCCCTATTGTGAAATTATACATACATTATATAATTCTTGGCTGTTAAGAATTGATTGCTGATATCTAATATAAATAAGAAAATATTTGCTTGATATTCTAAGTTAAATATTTGGATCGATTGTCCTCAATATGGAATGCAGTTAGTTATACACGATAATCTTTTATGATATTTTAATGTTCCCGTTATATTTTGTTCAAAACTCGAAAAATTATTGAGAAATATATTTTTCTGATCATTTTAAGAAATATATTTTTCTATCAATATGACAAAAAACATTTAAAAAAAAAAACACAAAAGAACATACACGTGTTGAAAATCAATAAAAAATCCTCAATTTATCTAATCATTAATCATATATGATTAAATTTAGATATTAAGCTACGTGAGCAAATACAGGAAATTAATTATATCTTAATAGTTAATTTATCAATTAAAAAATTGTAACTAAATATTAACTAAATAATTTTTAAGAAAAATTTCTAAATAAGATAAAAAAAATAAATTTTATGGTTTAAGAAATATTTGAATCAATTAATATTTATTAAAATATTTTTTACAATCATAATAATCATATAATTAATAATCTAATTCTAATTAAATATTAAATACAGGGGGAAATTTTCCTTTTTTATTATAGTGAAATATAAGTTTAACATAAATCGAAATAATATAGATAAGTTTTTTGAATTTTTTCCAAGAAACATTTTGAATTCAATTTAATAATTATCAAATTAGTCAAATGAAGATTTTCATATGATGTATGATTCACATATGATAACGTATATAAACGCATCAAAATATTCCATATATTAAAGTTGATTAAAGTATTAAAGTCATTTGTGATTTAAATCATATTCAATTGATTGAGAAACTAGATTTATATGTTCTCCGAATAAAATAAGTTATAAGAAACATGCTTTTTTTTTTGAAACAACGTAAAATGACCGATAATATAATTCTTTTTGTTAAAATAGAAAGATAATATAATGAATGTATTGCAGATTGAGCACTATAAATAAGTTATTTTGATGATATAGATTTACAAAAAAATCAAAGTCACAAAGAATTTAAAAATTATTTGCCACTAATGATAATGAGAAATATTCTGTAAAAGTTATATGCAGTTATTTTAATGCTGTGGGGAATCCCACACTTATATGCACGGTTATAAATTCTATGCATGTTTAGTCATTGATGAGTTTGGATATCCCCGCCAAGATCACATTTGGTAATATTTCGGACAGAGAAGGGGAACATCGAAGAAAGATGCTTGTGTTGTAAGTCTTGTTCATTTGCTTTGTCGCAGTTGCATTAGTTAGTGAATTCAGTTGATTGGAAGTTTTTGTTAAAGTTTATTGAATATTTTATTTCAGTTATGTTTTTGTTTTAATTGTATATGAAGAAGCATTTTTTTTTTCTAAATTTTATGGTAAAATAATATTTAATTATTTTTATATTTATTTAATTAATTTATCTTTAATTTATCTTTTTCTTGCAACAAAGAAAATTTAATATTCATTTTTATATTGGTAAATAAAACATATTACATGACTAATAATATGTATTTAAATATATAGTTATATTTAATATATTTACACATTGCTTTCAATAAGAATATTCAATTTTTTATTATATTAATGATAATTATCGAATTAAATACAGACATTACGAAATTATTAATTTATAATATATTATTTTATTGCTTTTTTTTAGTTACAGTGAAGTGTTGAACTTATATATATTATATATATATATTATTAATAATATATATATTATATATATATATATATATATATATATTATTAATATATAAAATTAATAAAATATATAAAATATATAAAATTAAATATATTTAAAAATATATTAAAAATTATTGATTATTTTTCAGAAGAATTTTATCGATATACCATGCAGAATAGTTATACTATTGATTCTAACAATGATTCAACAGTAACAACATTGTCTCATCAATGTAGAGAAGAAGCACAGAATAATGAGAAACCAACTGAAAATACTTGTTTAACACCTAATAGTAATCAGACATACTTTGCTGATGAAAGAATTCACATACCAGAAACTGAAAATGTAGTATATATTGATATTAATAAAGGCTAATATATTAAATTTTAATAATGATAAATAGATCTTTAATTTTATTTGATTTTTACAGAGTTTCTTTAGTTTTAGAAAATTATGGGCCTTTACAGGTCCTGGATTTTTAATGTCCATAGCTTATTTAGATCCTGGAAATATTGAATCTGATTTACAATCTGGTGTTGCTGCAAAATATAAGGTACTTTTTTTTTAACTAATTGTTAATTTATTTGATTTTTAATTTATTATATTATTTTATTAGTTATTATGGGTATTATTAAGTGCAACTATTCTTGGCCTTATTATGCAAAGATTAAGTGCAAGACTTGGTGTGGTAACAGGTTTGCATTTGGCAGAAATGTGTTACAGACAATACAAAAAAATACCTAGAATAATTTTATGGATAATGATAGAAATAGCTATAATTGGTAGTGACATGCAAGAAGTAATAGGAACAGCTATTGCTTTGTCTTTATTAACAAATAAAGCGTAAGTAATAAAATTCTTTCTATGTTTTTATTATTTAATTAAATTATATTTTATTTTTTTACGTAATTAGTAAATATTTATATTTTTTAATATAAGTATTTATAAATAATATAAAATTTATTATTCAGGATTCCTACATGGGGTGGTGTTCTTATTACAGTAATTGACACTTTTACATTTTTATTATTGGACAAATATGGCCTAAGAAAATTAGAACTTTTTTTTGGATTTCTTATTACAGTAATGGCTATTACATTTGGATTTGAGGTAAATTTTAAAGAAATAAATAAATATTATATATACAGAGTTTTAATATATTTGCAGGATCTAATATATTATATTATTATACATGTATTTTTTTTGATTTTGTGAGAATGTTGATCTTTGGAAAGCCAATTCTAGAAGCCAAAACAAACATAAAAGATATTATAGAAAAATATTTATTGAAGTTTATATATTAAATTATAAATAGTTTAAGTTTGAATTAATAATTGAAATGAAATGAAGTTAGAGTGAGATATCTATTTTTATCACATCACTAGCTCATTCTCTTTCCATTTCGCTTTGTGACTTGTTTATATTGCAAATGCAAATTTAAATTATAACTTAATAAATAATTTAATTAATAAAAATTTTTATATATTAACTTTTGTATTTATTTCAGCTTCTAGAATAACTATCTAAAAATTTTCCTCAAATTTTTTACAAATATATGTATACATAAATTAAAATCATTATTATTTTCAAATTTTAGTATATAGTTTCTGCTCCACCTGAAAGTGAAGTAATAAGTGGAATGTTTATACCTTGGTATAAAGATTATGACAGGAATATGTTACTACAAGCTGTAGGAATTGTTGGTGCAGTTATAATGCCACATAACTTGTATCTTCACAGTGCTCTTGTTAAAGTAAGAAAAGAACAAAGAGTATAAATAATCTTTTTTATGAAATTGAAGAAGTAGGCATTCTTATGTATTAAAATTATTTATCAAATATTAAATAAATATTAATATAATATTTTATAATTTATAGTCCAGGGACATTAATCGTGAAGAATCCAAAAAAGTAAAAGAGGCAAATATGTATTATTTCATTGAGGCATGCATTGCACTTCTGGTATCTTTTATAATTAATGTATTTGTTGTTGCGGTATTCGCAGATGGACTTTATAATAAAACTAATTTAGAAGTTGTAAGTACAAGAATCAAGAATTATAAGAGAAATTTTATACTATAATTTTCAAAATATATTCATATATATTATCAATTTACATTTTAGTACAATCTTTGTAAGGATAACAATTATACTCTAGGAATAGATACATTTACAGTAAGTAACAAATCATTAAAAAGTTTTATTATTATTTATTTAAAAATGATAATTTTTTTTATTTACAGAAAGAAAATACTACTATTTCAGTAGATCTTAACAAAGGTGGCATATTTCTTGGTTGTGCATTTGGTGCAGTAGCAATGTATATTTGGGCAGTTGGTATTTTTGCTGCTGGTCAATCTTCTACAATGACAGGAACATATGCAGGACAATTTGCAATGGAAGGATTTTTAAATTTGCAATGGGCTCGTTGGAAACGAGTTCTCTTTACGCGAATGATCGCTATTATTCCAACCTTTCTCGTTGCATTTTTTAGTGATATAGATAATTTAACTGGCATGAATGATATCTTGAATGCTATTATGACTCTTCAGTTACCTTTTGCAACATTGCCAACAATAGCGTTTACTAGTAGCTCTCAGATTATGGGTGAATTTCGAAATGGAATGTAGGCTTTATTTTTATTTTTATATTTATAGTTTTTTAGTTTTGTATACAATATTAATATATATTTTTATAAATTTCAGAGTTAATAAGATTGTTGCAACAATATTATCTGTTATTGTAATAACTATAAATATATATTTTGTAATAAATACTGTTCAAGAAGATTTACCGCATCACTGGGCAGTGATACTTGCCATTTCTATATATTCTATTTTATATCTCCTATTTTGTTTCTATTTGACTATTCACATGGCTGTGAGTATGGGCGCAACTTCTCTTGGTAATCATTGGGTATGTATTAAATTGAATTTATTATTTAAAAATAATAATTATAAAAAATGAATTGAATTATAAAATATCATTTTATTTTATTATTAATTTTTATTGCAGTTTGTAAGAAAATATATTGGAAATCCTGTAAGTACAAAACTTGGATTATCAAATCCTGCAATATATGCAAGGTAAGAATTGTATATATTTTATGTATAATAAAACTTCGTTAGTTAATTTAATTAATTGTTTTATAAAATTTACTAATATGAAAAAAAAAATTACTTTTTCCATTTATATAATATATATGTATTGTAATTAACAATGTAATATAATAAAATACATTTTATGTGAGAATATATAATAATATTGATAAATTATTTTTGTAAAAATTATTTTAAAATAATTGTTATCTTATCTTATATTTGTTTATTTAATAAGTAAATTTATATAAATAATTCATAACAGTTTTACTTATATATTTTTTAATAAATATTATAATGATTGCATATATTATCAAACTTAAGAATAATCCTTTTCTTGGCATTGTAATTATTATAATAAATAAACATTATTATATATTCGTTAAATAACATAATTTTTAATAAAATAAGTTTAGTTTAGAAAATTTGCTTAACATAATATATTTTAAAATGTTTGTTTAATATTATATGTAACTAATTGCTCTATGTCTAATAATATCATTCATTTCTAAAATCTATGAATGCGCGTGTATATATAAAAGACAAGAATTAAGATATAATTGAATATAAAATGTAAATATGAATACAAAATGGAATTAGAAATATTTATTGACCATCATATATGCTTTATTAATATTATATATATATTATAATAAATACTAACACATAATAAAAATATTGTTTTTTTTTTTACCATTTTATATTTTTTAAAAATTATATTATATAATTTTTATTACATTTTGGTTTATAAAATAAAAATTATATTCCAAAAAAAATTTTTTTATATGTTATAAAGTGTTCTTTTTATATTTATTATTATTTTTTAAACATATAGTATATTACACAAATTATTTCTTTTCCACACATAAATACATTCATAGTTTCTTCAATACATCAAAAACATAAAACTCAAAGAACTTCACATTATAAACATGCTTTTACCATAATTAAAAAGAAATGTTTAATATTAAAAAATCGCAACATCATCTGTCTTCAACTTTATATATGGTATGTACTTTATTATCAAAAATTTATATATATTCTTTTTTTTTACATATTTTTCAATATATAAAATTCTTAAGATTACAAAAATAAAAAAAGAATTCATATGATGAATAAAATATTAATAAAATATTGCTAGAGTTATGAATTGCTATTAGTTATAAGTTGAAAATATAATTTGTTATAAATTATAAAATAGAAAATTAATAACAAATATTGTATTCAAAATTATTAATTTATTTTATGTTTATCATTTGCCTATATTATTTATCATAGTTTTGTTAATAAATCATTTTATTATATGATTAACTAAATATTTTTTCATTACACATACATGCAAGTTTTAATAAATGCAAGTACAAATTTAACATAATTAGATTTTTTAAGTTTTTTTATATATAGATAAGTTTTTAATATTATTATTATATTTTTATAAAGTATACTTATAGATAAAGTAATAATCAAATTATATATTTTATTTTGTTCATTTAAACAAATTTTTTAAATTATCATAATATTTCAAATATTTTTTTTCTTTTATTAATCTAATTAATAAAATTAATTAGATTAATTTATTTATTATCTAATTTTTTAATGTTTTAGGTCTAATCCAGCATTTAACATTCAAGAAAATTGGTCTGGAAACTTTACTACAGTACCAGAATATTGAGAGAACATTATTGCAAATAATATGTGATAAATAATATTTAATACTCGTGATTCGCACTGCTAAATTTTAGAATTATATAAAAATTAAAAATTATAAATATGTCTATAAATCAATGTTTTTTATTGAAATTAATTAAATTCTTAACATAGAGATAAAAAGAGATGTGAAATAGTCATATATATACGCTTGTATTTATGTATATATATATATAATTATTATTATTATACATTATAAATAAAATAATTGTCTCTTTAAAATAAAATTGATAAAATATGCAATTAAATTTAATATTTGAAGAATTTTATAATTAAGAAATTTAAATAAATGAAAATATATTTGAAATATAAGAATGTGGTATATCTAAAAAAAAGTAATAAAGATAAATAATTAAAAAATAAAAATATAAAATATATCAGTGAATATATATATTATGCATATATAATGATATTTATATTATTATCTGTGTTATTTTTTTAGAGATAACAATTTTTATATATTTTATATATATAAAATTATATATCATGATTATTTAATTTTAAATTAAAAAATGCTTAAAGTATATACAATATTACTTTGAAAATAAATCAGTTCATTATGACTGTCAATAAAAATGGATCTCATATAATATATGCAAGGTATATTTCTCATTATAATTCAAAAATTCTATGTAAAAAAAATACTTATTAAAAATACTAATTTCTTTATAATACTTATTTTATTCGCTTTTAAATGTCACAAAAATACTTTAAATAGAATACAATTTATATTTGTATGCTTATATCGAACAACAAAATATAGTGATAAAATAGTTCAGTTTAAAAATTGAAAAATTTTTAGAGTATAATCTATTTGATTAAAATAGGACGTAACTTCTTTCTTCTCTAAGATATTGTCTTTGTTTCACTAAATCTAATTTACTTTGTCTTTCTTATTCAAAAAATAGGATTTGCAATAAATTATAATAACATTCATGTAAACATATTATAATTTAATAACAAATAGAATTTTAATTAATGGTAATTTAATATAATATATGACTAGATACTCTTTAAAATATTGCAAATTTAATTTCTTTAAAATATTTTATTTTATTTTTTTTTTTTGAATTTCAAATATTTATGAATCTATTTGTTTAGTATAAAATAAAAATTAAGATACCCTGAGTTAATATATATATTTTAAAATTCATTTTTTCTTATCATAATATATCATTTTTACAAAAATTATTTTAATTACTTTAATTTTTTCGGAATTAATGTGTAAATTATTTTGGTCATCACAGATAATTTTGTAAATTCATATTATATATAAAAATCAATTTAAGTAATATAGCACTTTATAATCACAAAAATTATTAAGGATCTTTTATTCTTCTGTTAAGCTAAAAATTATTAGAAATACCGTTTTATAACAGCCTTGTTTTCAACAATCTGTATGAGCATATATAATTTTTTTTATCAATTAAAATTTATAAATAATTATGGATTTATTTATCCACTTATTTAATTATAAACTGAAATGTTTTATCATCAATAAAAAAGTACAAATATCATAAAATATATAAAATTTTTTTCGAATATTTTATGTGAAAATAATTATCAGACTTATTTTTCGTATTATAAATTCATTTCTTAATTGTTTGTAAAATCAAATATGAGTTTTATAATTTATCGTAATTCTGTTAATTATCTAATTACGAAAACATTGATATTATAATAAAAACGCTCACGCATAATGTCAATTATTTCTTTCACAATATTATATCCAATTATATAGGATCCGTTGTTAATCGTAGGTAATACTGATTATGTTCTCGTTTATAATGCCAATAAATAAAGCCCATTATAAATAAAACTAGTAAAAGTAACATTAATATAGAAGATGTCAGTATTACTGAAATAGAATAAAGATTAAATAAATGATTAAACTTTATTATTTCTAATAAAAAGTATATTTATATTATTTTAGAAATTTACCAATAACTGCTGGTGTATTCATATTATATTCAAGTTGTTCCCAATCCATTGTACATTCTTTTTCCCAATTTATAGGTATAACATCTTTTGTTAGTGTAATAAATTGATTTAAAGGACATAATGTAATGCAACCAGGGAGTGTTAAAAGTTTTGGTTCTTCACTAGTATTTTTATAATATATCTATAAAAAATATTAATAATTTTGTACTGTTTATTCATATTCTTTTTATTTTAAATACTTACAGTTACAAAATACTGATTTTTTAAATTTATTCTTAACTCTATCAAAATTGTAGCAGTATATGGTGGACAATGTGGTTCAAAAACATTTAAAGTCATTAACATATTAGCTAAAGTTTCATCATGAGCACTATACATCCATATTTTCCTATCAGGTACTAAGGCATTTTTTTGATTTTTTTTTCCATATGATCTATCATTTCTCCAAGTAATGATCCTGTTTTTTTATATCTTTCACATTATAATATAAATTTGATTTAAACTTTTTTTAGATACATTAAAAACAATTACCTGATTTTAATCTTTGAAGAATTTTATTATAGGCACTAGTTGTAAAACTTTTTTCAGCAATAGATTTAAGTTTATCTGGGAATACTGATTTTGTCCATTCTGGTAATGTTTTATTATAAAGATTCTATAATGCAAATTCAGAATATATAGAATATATCAAATAAAATTATTTATTAAAAGAGAAAATAATTTAGAAAATAAAAATTTACCTCAATAAATAAAGTATCATAAAGTTGTTCAGCAGATCTTAGAGATGAAATCTTATTTCCTGTTTTTTCTGTCAAATATGCATATAATTTTTTATTTTCTTTATTTATTTTTCTCATTTCTGGAGAATTAAGAACTTTATCCAGTTCATAATCATATTTAGGACAATATTTTTTAGCAGCTAAAATATAATCTTTATCTTCTGGAATAGTATGCACTGGAATAGGCATCCATTTAATATTACTCCATATTTGTTTACCAACTGGTGGATATAAACCAGCAAGTTGTGATTCTGCTGACATTAAAGTACGATCTACATCAGTACTTTGAATATAAATATCATATGGAGAATATAATTCATTTAATAAATATGAATAGCGTTTGCGAATCCAACGGCCAAGTAATAAATGTTGATCCTTTCCAATCTATAACAATTTAATAAATATATTATTGTAAGAAATAATAAAAAATATTCCAGAATGATTTTAACATTAAAAATTGAACATAGTAAAAATAATATATAAAATTGATATTTTTTTCTGTTAAAGGAATTATTAAAATAAAAATTAATGTATATTAAGATTAACAATTACTTACATTTGTTAATTGACCATATGGAACTGGCCATATACTTTCATTATTGTAAGGATCATTTGGATAAGGTCTTATAGGTGTTCTATCTCCATGTCTATACAACTGTTAAAGAATTAGTTATTTTTAAAAGATAATAATAATCATTATTATATTATTTAGTTCACATATCGCATTAACGAGATGAAAAATAAATATGTGCTCATAATAACAACTAATATAATATATGATATAAAATATCAATATTATTTATTTAGAAAACATTTTTTAACTTACAATATTTGCAAAAACAATAGTTCCCAAATCTATATCTTGAGCGTTTGATAGATTCATAATAAAAAATGTTAAAACGATGACAAGCAAATTTTTATTCATATTTTTAATTATGGTTTACGCTTTCGAACCACTAATAAGAAACGTCATGTAAAAATTGAATAAAGCAACAATTTATTGATTACCGCAACCTGTGGAATACTATAAGTTCTAACATTTGATACGTATCGTATATTGCTTTCGTCAGAAATTTTATCACTTATGTAAACATATAAAAATTGAATTGAGCAATATAAAAAAAATTCTAATGTTACCAAATTACTAACATTTCGTTGTTGCCAATATTGGCTCAACGATCCTTAATTCATATAAAATAAGAACAAGGTTATTTTACAGTGGTACTCATATTTGAAATCTTTCTTAAAAATATATTATATTTTATCAATTAATTTTATTTTCATTCGAACTTTAAATTTTTATGAATTATGAGAATAAAATATTATTTATTGAAATATAAATATTCATAAATTATATTATATATCTACTTGATTTTTTATCAATGTTTTGAAATAAATTTATATAATTAGAAATGATTACATACATTTGCATTATACAATTTGCATTAATCGTTGTAAATAATTATATGGTAAATTAAAATTTCATATGAACATAATTTTTGCTTTGAAAGAAAAATTCATTTTAACAATTTATTTATGAATATATATGTATTAATAGAATAAAAATTGTAAAAAAAATATATGAACTTATATTTAATTATAATTAATTATAACTTTAAAAAAACAAAAAATGAAAATTATAGTTTTAAATATTTTATTGAGATTGTATAAAGTGAAAAATAATTACAAATAATAATTATTACAAATATAATTAAAAATTATACATTTTTATACAACATTTGTACATAATTTTGTGATATATTTACTTTTAATTTAAAATTCATTGAAAAAAGTAAACCTTATAATATCATTGAATGATAATGATAAGAAAATCTGAAGTAAATTATAAATTTTTTTAAAAAAAATTGCATATTTTAATTAATTCTATCTTTGTTCTATCTTTAATCTGAATATACAATATAAAATTTGTATATAATCTTTTTGTCTATATTACAATATATGAATACACATTATTATTTATAATACATGTAAATTATAATTTGTTCAAAGATATAATATCAGAAATTATTAATATGGAAAAATCTTTCAATTGACTTATAATTCAGTTCATTTACTATTTGTTACTATCATTTATTGTCTATATACCATTATAGATTGTATTTTATATTTTGAATACTTAAAAAAAAAATTTTTTATAAATAATATTATAAATGTTTCTAATTGATATTATACATTTTTTAAATGTATTCTTATTATTTCTGAAGAAATTAATTTCATTAAACAAAATATTTATAATTTTTCATTCAACTGATTTTATACATTATATCTTTGGACAAATTAAATACTAAATTAATTCATTAATTTTTAATATATAAACATACAGAGAGCAATCAAACTCTCATCAATTCTTTCGTATTTAAAATAAATAAACATTTCTGTACAGTTACTGTACATTCATATGTGAATATTATAAAAAACAATTTTAAAACTTTTATACGATTGATTATTCGCTTATAAATGCAATCTACACGAATCGCAGTTTTGGCCAAATACGCGTTTAAATTAATAATTCTTAGAAAATGTCTATATTATTTGAATTCAACATTAATGTGAATTCATTACCTAATATTAAATAATGGAATATACTTTGAATGAAATAGTGGTAATGTTTAAATCACAGCCTTCGTTGACGATAACGTTGTATTAAAGAAATCAAAAACTGTGTTATAAACGGCCATATAATTAAGATAGTGAATAATCGCGGTGAACATTCTGGTAAAGGCCACCATTTTGGATATGAAGTAGGCTGTTTCTAGAAAAATATATAATATATGTGTATAAGTCAGTAAACAAAATCATAATAAGCGAAAAATAAGATAAAAATTTTATTTTATTTTATTTACATGTATTATTGATGGTGCCAATGCCTGTAATGTTTGTCCTTCTAAACTGCGTACTCTGGTCGTTATTCGATCTAAATCTCTTTGCAAATTTTGCATAGTTGTAGCTATTTGATTAAAAAATTCATCATTGGATTTTTCATCTTTTTTAATTCGTTGTTTATTTCTTTCTTGTTTATTCTCTATTAGTGGTTCTGTATAACCATTTGTATTAGTGTATCCATTAATTAACTCCGAAGAATTTTCTTTTTGAGGAATTAATTCATTAATTTTTTCAGTAGAAATATTTAAGCCATTAGTCATTTTCTGAATAACATTAGAGGTTTTTGTTGTATCTTTTTGTATTCGTTCTGGAGCTGACTATATATATAAGTAAAAAACATAATTTTTCAATTATATTATATGAAAATAAAAGATATCTAATATACATTGTCTATAATATTTATAGTATTTACTTCAACAGTATCTATAAATTCTTCTTCACCATCAGTATCAGGTGGACTTGTACCATGGCTAGTGGCTGGGCTAGTTTCTAAACTACTTGCAATATGTCGAGTTATATTACAAACTCTATGTGGTGATGTTTCTCTTGATGCTACATAGAAATTATTGCAAAAATTAAATTATTTTGAATTTCTTATTTATAAATATCAAAATTAATCAAATATCATTAATTGTTAATAAATTATTAGATAACAAATAAAAAATAAAATATAATATTTCTATTTATAAATACAAACCTAAAGGAGAACCAGATAATGGCATTCCAGGTTGTGAACGCATACGTTCTAATACAGGACCAAGAAGTAGTTCCAAATCTTCAGGTGGAACACTTTCACAAAATGAATCTAAACTATCTAAAAAATTAGCTACTTTGTCTGTGTAAGACATTGTTTCTACAATCTGTTAAGTTATAAATGAATGTTAAATAATTTTTAGATATTATAATATTTAATATTTATTGGAATATAATATAAAAATTAACCTTTTTTAATTCTTCTACATAATTATTCATAGCTTCTGTTCTACTCATATTTCCCAAACGTGTCCAAGCATCCCATTTTGCCTTTTTAACCACTTCCCAAAAAGCTGGCTTTGGTTGTTGACATGGTCCTTCTGTTGCTTGTTTATAATATGCATAAAAACGTAGCATAATTTCATTGCTAGGTTGATATGCTCCTAAAATTAAAGGACTAATATTTAAATAACAATTTTATTATAGAATTTTTTATTAGAAAACCAAAAGATAATAGTGTATTAATTTTATATTAGAGATTAAAAAAAAATTAATTATCATTAATTTTATAAAAATATGAAGATAATGAATGAATTTTTATAATTTATTAAGTTTAATTATATTACTTATATTTAATATATTGAATATAAAATCTTAAATATTTAATAATATAAATTTTTAACAAGATGTAAATATATTTGTGCTCATAAAGAGCATTCTAATTTTAAATACAAACTGCAATTCATCCATTCTTATTCTGTTAGAAAGTGAAATGAGAACACTTACACATTCATATCTAATAAATGGAAAGTAACATATGCATATTTATGAATTTAATAGTATTAAAAATGTATTCAATGTAATTGTATTCAAATAATCTAGTTTACATTTACAAAATAATAAAAGATTTCAAAAAAAAAAAAAATAAATAAAAATTCATAGAGTAAATTTATTGTTTTTGAATTCTTAATTAAATAAATTTAATTAAGTAAATAATTGCAAATACTATATATTATACTATAAATTATATGACAATAAGAAAATGATAATTTTAAATCCTTATTGTACATTTAGTTACAAATAATTTTTATACTTATTAAAAATTAAAAATATATAATAAATTAATAACAGTTAATAAAAAACATATTTTATTGTTGTTTAAAATTTAAGATATAAATATAAATATTAATAATTTTAATGAAAAGAAAAGAAATATTCTGAAAATTCCGTCAAATCGGACTTTGTACGAATGGTTTAATGAGTGCATATTATGTATACTGCTGATTAAAATAACCAGTTTAAGCAAACTTCCAAGGAATAAAAAAAATTGAAATTAAAAAGAAAAATAAAAAATTAAAAAAAAAAAGAATAAAAATTTATTACGTTTTTATCAGTTTTATAAAGCATTTTACACTAAATATGATAATGTATAAACAATGTTATGACTTTATTTTTTAAAAATAGTCATAACAAAAAATCAAACATTACTACAATATACAAAATTGAATATTTGAAAAAATTTACCATTTTTTGGCAAATTCCTGATTACATTAACAGCCGCTTGAAATTGTTCTTCTGTCGTCATGGTAAAATCCGCTGACTTTGAACAGATAAATATTCACATTCACTTTTTAATGATCACTAATATTTTTCTTTTCTTCGTTAATATCTACCACCTTGAAATATTCGAAATATTTTCAAACTATTAATAGTAAGAAAATAATTCGATGTTTTCTGAATTAAATTAAAAACAGCTAAAAATTACTTATAACGATAGAAGATGACAGATCACCGATTGATGACTGGCGATCGTCCGGTGATCATACATATATAATGGCGCATGCGCGTTAAATGATCGTCAACAAATTTTTAACCCTTTCTTTTTATAGTTTGCTACTACCTATTACTATTTTATCAATTTTAAAAGAAGACAAAATTTTCAATATGCTAATTGTTTATTCGTTTTTTAAAAATTAATTTTTTTTATTAAATAACGATTTAGATGAAAAATATTTCTTTCGTATAATTAATATTTTTTTTCATTGTAATAATATTACCATTATTATTTATTAGAGGGGAATGGAATAATTTATCCATTATATTTTATGTTATGAATATTTATTATTAAATTTAAATATCTATTTCATTGAAAATAAAATTTTAATAAAAAAATGTTATAAGAATAATAACTAAAAAAATAGAAATTTACATATATACATATAAATTTGATAGAATTAACTGTAGTTAATTTTTAATCATTATCTAATAATCTTTAATATAATAAATACATTCATTTCCTTATACATATATGTATATGTACAAAGTAAGACATATAAAATATTAAATTCAATAACATTTTTTATATAAAAAATTATATTATTTTATATAAACAATATTTAGTAATGTATTATTTTATATAAATATATACTATTTTATATAAAAAATGTGAGATTTGAACCACTCTTAGGAATTTCTTTTTTTTCCAATTTTTTTGGACACATAAAATGATTTAATAATTTATAATCATTTTTTACAACTTATGTGTTTTGTCTTATATACTCTTATATATTCTTTATATATCATAGACAAGATATAAAATAGATCTACTATCTTTTAAGATTTTATGTTCCTGTTCTGGTTTGTCGGTCATGTCAAGAATTTTCATGTATTCTTTATCATTTGAGCAGTAAATTCAATCCATTTAAAATTCGTAAAGTTAACAAAGTTAACAAAAGAAAAAAGATTTTTGTTTATTAAATTCCAATATTTATGGTAGATTTGTATTATTTATATCAATATTATAAGTTTTGTAAAAATATTCTAAATATTATAAATGAAGTAAAATTTTAATTTAGTTTTTCATATCTTCAATTTTTAAACTTTCAGATTTATTCAATTCATCATCATTCATTCATCTATATAGATTCTAATCATATTATAAATATAATAAATATTTTTTTAATCATTTAACAAGAATATGATTTTTGACTGAAAAATATATAGTTAATAGGAACATAGAATTGGAAAAGAGATTTTTTTTGTCAGTATTCTTATAACATTATAGAAAAAGAAAGAAAGCAGTATAAAGAGATAGAAAAAATAGGTTAAATATTAAGAAACTTGCTATCTTTAGAATATTCAAATGAAACACATATAGAGAAAAAAATAAATAGTGAAAAAAAGATAAAGAATATAAAGATTGATTCTCACCATTATGTTTTGAATAATAGAATCACTTTTTTAAAGATAGAATAAAAATTGAGTTTAGGGCCATCTTTGCCAGACTTTATTACAGATTAGATATAATATATAAAAAGATAATAAATAAGATAAATAAAAATATCACCTTTATATCTAGTCTGTGTTTATATTTAATTCTCTTTTATATATCTTTATGTCTTTTTATATCATTCAAAAATGGCGCTAATAATCATTTCTTATATTATCTTTGTTATTGTTTGTTCTTATCTATATCTATTTTATTTACAGCATTTTAAAGATGGCGCTGATTTCATAATTTTTAACTTGTTTTTTTCTCATTGTTTTCTTTCTTTGCCATTATATACTATACAAATTCAGGCACTCAAGAGATGGCGCTGATTTATGATTAGTTTTATGCTTTTCTTATTTAATATAGTAATTAAAAATCTTTAATAGTATTTATTCCATCGAATTTTTATATTGAAAGTGAGTATATATTTTATGCAGAAATTTAAGGAAATAAATATCTTAATTCAAAAGTTTTTATAGTAATATATATATTTTTTGCAAAAATTTATTATTTACTTTTTATTTCATAGTTTAAACTTTTTCCGAAGTAGAAATGGTGTCAATTGGTCGTGGTCGAGGATGGGCTCAAAATGATAAAAATTCATTATCTAGACCAGGAAGATCATTATATTCTGATGATATAGATTATGTGAATTTTCTCAATCTTATCAATACTGTTCACAATGAAAATGTAGCAGAAAAATCAGAAGATTTTGTAAAATTAATTAATGAGAAAGTGAATAAGGAAAACTTAAAGTAATATTATAAAATAAAATGTTTAGTTTCATTCTTTCTTTCTTATGTTCTCTAATAATTATTTTTAAAAATTAATTTTAATTGATTTTAATTAATTGCAGAGATATACATGATAAACTTTACCAACATGCTTTAAACAATCGGGACTTTGGAGCAAAATTATTAATGATATATAATTATCCTACAATCAAAAATCTATGTGATTCTGAAGAAACAAGTTTATATAAACATTTAGTAAGACGATTTCAAATTGATTATGAAAGTAAGTACTTTTTTTATCTATGTTTTTGATTCAAAAACCAGAAAAATTGAAATTAATATATTTATTAATGAATTTTTATTTTTTTATAAATATAGGAAGAAAAGATCTAAGACAAGAAAATACAGTACAATTTCATAATGCTATTTGTTTATTTTCTAAATATTTAAGTTATATTCTGCATTCATCACAATCCTTTCTTAGATTTCAATCTGCATTATTGGATTACATGGAAATGTTGTTAGAAATAGCTTCTTCAGAAGATATCCAAATTTTTACAGAATTAGTGAGTATTTGAAGCTTAAACTTTGATTTCATTTATTGATTTATTTTAATATTTCTTTATGTTTCCAGATTATTATACATGGTAAACATTTTTATGACAGTCATAAAGAAAAACTGAATGATTTAATGATCATTGCAAGACAAATTTTAATTAAAGAAAATATATGTTCTACATCTCGTCAGAAGTTACTATATACAATAGATTTGGAGAGTAGAAATTTTAATACATTACCTGTAAATTTACAAAAATTTTATAATTCACAATTGAATAAAACATTTATTCAAGAGGATAATGATATTATTAATTCAGTATTGAGAACAGAAGATGGTAATTCCAAATAAATTTTTAAATTTTTAATTCTTTTCGAAAAAAAATTGATTTTTATTTTAAAATAAAAAAATTTATGTAATTGTAAATGTAATATTTATTAAAGAATGAATAAGACTATTTATTTTAGAGCGTCATTCTTCAACGAACGAATTGAACAATCAGACATCTCAATCTGTGCCTACAAATAATCGAGGTTTAAGAGCGATTCGAGGATTGGGAGCAGTAGATAATGTAAAATAAAAAAATTCTATAAAATGTAAACATAATAATAATTTAAAAGCTAGAAAATATAGAGAAAGGCAGGTTAAACAGTTTTTTATCTAAATATATCAAGACAACATAATTTCTAAATGCACTATATAATATTTACATGAAAAAGTAATTACATAAATAAATTGTTGATGTTTCAGGAATGAAGATTGTATATATTTCATAAATAATATTAAATAATCTAATTTAATATTACTCACTACTAATTTAATATTACAACACTACTCTAAATTAATTACAAAATATATAATATAAATAAATCCATTAAAGTATAATTTATGATTAATTTTAATACAATAATTAATAAGTAAACTATATTCTATATAATTGAAATTTATAAAAAAAATATATACGTATATAATATTATTTTATATGCAGAATAAATATTGTAAGTATATATATAAAACATTAAAATATTATTATCATTGTATTATCATTTAGAATTTAGAATTGTAATTTATATAAATATTGTGTTTTTTTGTTAATTTAAAATTAATAAAATTAATATAACTTTTTCTTTCAATAAAATTAATTATATTAATCAATCTTTTTTCACATACATTTTTATTAAAATTATCATATTATTTTACATTCTGTAAGAGTAGATATATATTACTATGTATATGTATATATTATTACATTACATTCTGTAATGTTTTTAATATTAATATATGATATTAATTATATAATATATTATAAAATAGAATTTTATTATATGTACTGTCATTAAAAATAACAATATTACTTATATTTTAGAAAAAAATAAAAGATTATTTAATTATTTTTTTATTAAAATAAAATTAACCCTGAAACATCTTATGCAACAATTTTAAAACTCAAAAAATTAAATTACAATAATTCAAATAAAAATTTAAATAAAACACTTAACAATTATTAAATATAAATTACTATACATATATAATTATAATAGGAAGAATAAAAAGGTTAGAATTGTTGATTTAGAACAATAATTTATTTTATAAAGAACTATTTTTCTGATTTTCTAAGTTTAATAAAGACAAGTTATTGCATTTGCTTCCTTTAAATAATAATCGTTGCTTAAAATAATGATCAAAATCGATAAAACGCTGATTAATACTATAATTCTAATATTATTCAACATATTTACAAATTGCAGTTGCAATTATATATTATACAATTATTTTTTTTTCTTTTTTTTATTTGTGCAATAAGAAATAATATTGTTTTTATGTTACAATATTTGTTCAAATTAATCTCATATTTCAATATATTAAATATTGAAATATTATGCGACATTAAGATTAACGCATGTTAAGATAAACAACATATTAAACAATGAAGTTTAACGTTATAACTTCAAATTCAGCATAGAGTAAAATATACCAAAATAAACAACAAAAATTCACGTATAGATAACAGAGAATAATAAAATTCGATAAAAAATATTATAAAACTTTCAAACTTTTCTAGACTGGTAGAAAATTATACTTCGCATAAATTATTTATAACTATTATCAGTAAAAAACTTGTATTATATACGAATTTACAAGTTTGTACCATTTTGACAATTTGCAAAATGTTGAGGATTTTATATATATATGAATTATACTTACTGCATATTTCCATTCGTAATTTTGCAATCTAATAAAATAAAATAACGTATAATCATATTAGAAAATGGACTGTTAATATAATAAAGATTTATGTGAATAAAAATTTTAATTAACTATATGAATAAATATAAAACATTTTTATAAAGATATTTTAATCAAAAAATCGAATAAATATTATCCTAAAATAACTTTTTTTATTGTAATAATCATTCAATAAAAGATTTCTCTATAGTTTTTAAACAAAATTCTATTAAGATTCTTATTCCTTATATTTAAACGAAAAAAACTTAACTATATACTAAAAAACAATAATTTTATATAATAAGATAAATCAACATATTGTCTTTCTTTTACAGAATAGATATATTATAAATTAACAAAAATATATGTGCAGTTTATTAATATATTATTAATAGATAATTTAAGCTTTGATTTAGTCTAAGAACACGCCATTAATTTCTTTATCATATTTTTGTCTCAGACTAATTCAAAAATTATATCTTATTCGAACTTTTTACTTTCTCGATCAACGAGAAATAATCACGATTCCATCTTCTCAGAAACAGAAGATTGGAGAATGTTTTCTTCCTCGATTTCAGTTTTTAATTTTGTTTCGATTTCTAATTGTTTTTCTTCCTTTTGCTCGTTCTCTTCTACTTGCTCATCCACATTAATCTCTTCTTCTTCGTCTGCAGCTTCCGGTAACAATTCTTCTTTCACTATTATTCTTTCATCACAATTATTTTTTTCAGTGTCTCTTAGTTTTGTTTCAATGTTATTTTGTATATCTTCATCAGGTGAGGATACTTCTCCGGATCGATGGAATGTTAACATATGATGATCTAATTCTGCCCTGAAGAAAAATTTTAATGTGCACTGGGAACAGTCATATGGACGTGCACCCAAACCATGTTCTTGAAGCATATGATTCTAAAAAATTAAAAATTGAAGATATTTAAAAAGATATAAATTTTATTTATCTACGTAAAGATATAAGTTAATTATTATTTTTGAAAATAACAATAATAATAATTTAATGGATAATAATATTTCTTATAATATATACCTGAAGACCAATAGGTGCAGTGAAAAGAGATTGGCAAATATAACAGCTGAGAGCGGCACATCCTGCAAAAGTATGTTCTATCAAATGGCTTTGCAACTGTAATGGACTATTAGCTTCAAATAGACATAGATGACATCGTAATGCCTCCATAGAAGTTTTTCCTGATACTTCCAAATGCTCTTTCCTTATATGCTGCTGAATCTTTGCTTCTGTTGCGAATGACATCTAAAAAAAAAAAAATGAATGAATTAATCACTAGATTTTTAGCTTTTATTTATGATTTTATGATGATATGATTTAGAAATATGATAATAAATAATATATAAATTTTTGAAATATCAAATTATTATATTTTATATTTATTTAATTATTGTAAGTTTTATTACTTGACATTGTATACACGTATACGTATTAGATGCAGCTCCAGTCTTCTCATGCTCTACTATCCTATGTTTTTCCACCTCTTCGGAATCCTCAAATTTCACTCCACAATCTTGACATCTCTTATTATCAATCATTCCATTTCTATTCTCTTTATATTTATTCTCCGATTCCCATTTATTTTTCGATCCATCCCATTGTCCATCTTTATTATTAGATGTCCAAGAATCATCACATTTAGATCTAACAGATTCATACGAATTCAAAATAGGTAAACCTTGAGAATGACGAATGTAGCAAGACTTGCAGACCCTCAAAGATTGTCCTCCTCCGCTTACATGACTTGGAGGCAAATTAACAAAGTCATCACCAGAATAATCTCTTAAGCAAAGACAACAACTTGGATTCTGGTTTTTTTGGTTGGGACTAGGGCTAGATCCCACACTGTGAGGACCAGTAGAAGCTCTCAAATGATGTCTGGCATGAAGACGACATTCCAAATCGCTGATCAGTGTCTGTCTGCAAACTACACATGCTGCAGGAAGATGGGGAAGAGAAGCGTCTAATCTTTGCTGAGGATCTACGTTTTCCAAGCTATGTCTTTGGACATGTTCTAAAAACTGTGATTCCGAGGCTAAATTTCCTCGACAAACAATACACGTGTCACTTAATTGAATTTTACAGTGTTTTTGCAGTTTATGTTCTGCTAGAATCGCACCTGAAGGACAAACTTCGTCACAAATATTGCATTTGTGGCGGCCCCCAGGTTCATTTGATGCATGTTGAATCCTTGTATGAGATTCTAGATCAGTTCTAGAACGACATACTTCTCCACAATATGCACAAGTCATGCTGAGATTTGTTATGGACTTATTTTGAAACTTAGCTGGAGTGTGAACCAATTTCTTATGGGCTTGAAGTTCCGTTTCATTAGAAAATTCCCCTCTTTCACAGAGATCGCACTGTTGAGAAGATGTATTGGAGTAATTTGGACGTTTATTATTGTTGTCTCGTTGATTTACGGTGTTGTTGTTGCTGGAGGCTGGAGAACGACCTCTTTTTTGAGATTTTGTCTATATAATGAAAAGATTCAATCAAAATTAAAAGAGATGAAAAGGCATTTTAACTGGATTAGAATTTAAAACTTTGAACATACCTCTTCTTGCAATCTTGGCGGTCTACCAATCCTTCCATTTTCTCTAGAGCTAGTTCTAATAATACCTTGTTGATTACTGGAATGATGTGCTTGAGCAATATGCCTGTCCAACAAAAATTCCACAGCAAATCCCTCTCTACAAACTGGACATCTATACAAGTTAGCAGAATGGCTAGCCAAATGGAGCTGTAATTCCAGTTCAGAAGTACAACAAATTCCACAGAAAACACATCTCGGTCCGGAATTTCCAGTTATTCCAGGAGTAGATGCAGGGCTTCTGGCTACAGGGCTGTTATTTGACACGGTAGGAGGCGCATGGACATTTCTCACATGATTTGTCATCTCGGATTCACTCCTGAAGAAACTTTTTCCTTCCCCCGGTGCATTACCCGGTGAATTTTCATTATTGGACACCGTACAAGCGTTACACCTATAGATCCTACATTCCTGACTGTGCTTCACAGCAAAATGGACTTGTATCGCCACTCTGGAATCAAAAGTATCTCTGCACAGAGCGCACCTATAGAGGTGGTGTGCATGACTATCGAGCAAGTGCCTTTGAAGAAGATCTGGATGGGGATAGAGCTTTTTGCAGGCACCACAGGCATACTCCTTACTAATCTGACCTAGATAATGCTTTGTCAAGTGCACCAACATATCTTCCCTGTCTTGAAAACTGGCCTCACACTTGGGACAAGAATGTCTGACAGCATCGTTTCTATGATTAGCTTGAAGGTGTCTAGCCAGATGTTCTCTGAAGGATTCAAAATCCTTTAAAGCTGCTCCACATTGGCCGCATAATAGAGTACCAGCTGAATAATTTTCCGTAGTAGCGGTATGTTTACTAGTTAAATCTGCTGGCTCAGAAGAAGACATTTGTTCCCTACATTTCTGATTCCTGGAGCTTTTAGACTCGTAACTTCCGTTCATCTTGGCATCTATATAGTCTTTACTTTCCAGAGGAGCTATCGATCGATTTTCACAATGTTGAAGAACATAATGTTCCGCGTAAGCAGCTGCTGAAGCACAGGGAATGCCGCAAAGTGGGCACATCATCAAGGCAGAGTTAAAACTGTCCGTTCTATGAATCGAGATCAAGTGATCTCTCAAAGAGCCTAATGTGGAGAATTTCATGGTACACTGATTGCACGTAAACGCGTTTTCATAATGATCCTTTTCCACAGATCTCTCTGAATCATCTTGATATTTCCTATCGTGCTCCTTGGAACTTCCTTCCGACCGATCTAAATTTTTCTCACCATGTTGATAACCAATCTGTTCGTTGCCTCTATTTGTCGATGGAGATACTGCAAGAGTTTCGCCGCTCAAGATAGCTTGATGCATCGTATGTACGTGCATCTGGAGCTGTTGCATGCAGTTGAAAGAATCTCTGGTGCAATACATGCAGGCCAACTTCAACGGAGAATTTAAGATTGGCGTCGTCGAAGCGCTGCCCTGCGAGCTTTTCAACCCAGATTTCGGGTTCAAGGCGAGGTTTAAAGACGGCGATGGAGAACTCGGTACTGGCGGCGATGATGTACTGTGAGAGGACACGCTTCTCCTACCGTAATCGATGTCCTTGGCCGATCCTTGCGATTGATGATGCTTTTTGTGAGATTGCATATGGGATGTTAAGGCAGCTGCTGTGTTGTAACCTCTGGAACAGGCCGTGCACTGATACGGTTTCTGCGTGTCGTGAGTCTTCATGTGGATCTTCAAATGGTCGCTAAAAATTTTAATGGGGGGGAAGGAAAAAGAAGAAATGAATTATTATAAATGTAAATTGATTTGTTGACGAGGATTTTTTCATTACGTTATTTATCGTTCGAAGAAAAATTATTAAAAAAAAAAGAAAGAAACTTAACTTAAATCAAAATTCTATATTACTCAAAAATGTGGCGAAGAATTCACAGACGTATTTTCTCATAAAATCGAATCGAATTTTAAGGAAAAGAAATAAGAAAAAAAAAAAAAAAAAAAACTTAACGAACAATTGTAAGAAAGGATAACCGTGAAATCAATCTCGGATATCAGAAAAATTGATCGATGTTGGCAAAAATAAAGAGAATGTGAACGATAGCTGAACGATTTTTCCTCTGCTCGCGTGTCGCTGGACGGATAAATAATTCATCCGTCCGGTGGAAAACTAAATCCGTTATAAGGCGAGGTCACCAGTTTGGCCCAACCGGTCAGTGTCTCGGCTCGTTCAGAAACGAAGACAGACGGCAAATTTGCTCTTGCACTTTGTGTTTGAATAATTCATGTGCCAGGATTATCGACTGGTTATGTTCTACCTGTCCTATTATCGTGTGTATCGTCTCTGTGCGCTTTGCTTAGCAAAATTTGGGGGGGGGTGGGAGAGGGGGAGGGAGAAGGAAAAAAAAGATACATATATATATATATTGAAACCGAACAACTTTTTCGACATCTTGAATCTCTTCGTTTTTTTTTTTGGGAACGTTTGTTGCATGCAGGACGGTTGAAAGATTGTACGACGTTATACGATTTAGGATGTTTCGTTAAGAAAAAAGGAGCATTTGGAGCGTATCAATATCATCAATATATAGTTTTAAATGTGTTTTTATGATCTTTCAATTTTACGAATATTTAAAAAAATAATTCATAATTTTCTTTGCAAAATGTTGGAAATGGATGCTAGTAGTAAGAAAATACGAAAGGTAAAAGGTATCGTTATTAAAGAAAAGCATGAAAAATAATATTTATTGTATTGAGTAAGAGTGGATATCGACGACGATAATAATTTTCGACAAATTAAGAGAAAAAGTTGTTTTCGCTTTATTTCCTCTTATCTCAGATGATCTAGGAATAACAACTGGTCGAACATGTATCTCGATCGATTTCGATCGTTCGGATCTCCTGCGGTTACAGTATCTATGTAAGAGAACCACAGGGGTTTTCACCCTTTTGTTGGGTCACCCAAGCCGACTGTCGAGCTGAGAGAACGAATAGAGATGTGGCGTAAAGATCCAGAAACGCGATTGTAATAATGGCTGACAGGCTAAGCCTCTGTTAAAACTTTTATTTTCATCGCTCTCAAGAAGACACTCATTTAACATTTTAACAGTTCAAAAAATTGGTCAGAAAGAGAGAAATTTTTCGAGTTTAAAAAAAAAAATTATATAGAGTTTAAGAGATATTCCTTGGCAAATATTTTTCGGGAGGAGCAATTTCGGGGGAACGTGCAACAAAAATTAATCAACATTAACATTTGAGTGATTAATTTATTAGAAAATTTTCAAATCTTCTTTTCTATTAATTCGACCGAAACTTTTACGTCGAATTCCAGAGCTCGTCTGTTAGAATCATTTTCACCTTAATTTAAATAGAATTAAAAATCTTTCGCGTTCTTGTTTAAACAGAAAGAAAAATAAAAAAAGATAAAGAGAAGAAGAGATCTAATGGAAGTCACGAGCGCGACGTAAGGGCTCGTCGGTGGACGAGGAGCAACGAGGCACTTGACTAATGTTCTACCTGTTGTCCCGTAACACCTATGCGCCTACCTGTCCACTCAGCTGGGGGAGACGCAGAGAAGAGGGACGGGGGTCCCCTTCTTCTCGTATTCACGTACCTATACGTATATATACATACATACATATATATATACAGTTGTGTATCCGTGTGTATATTTCGAGGAGACCATGTGGACACTTAAAGGACGAAAAGGTGCGTGTGCTTGCCACCCTTGCGGATCCGCCTGCTTTATACCAGCTTAGCATTTCAATAACCCGCGGGTTGAATGCGAGGGAAAAGGGAGAAATAAAGATAGAAAGGGGAAGGAGGGGAAGGAAGAAGAGACAGAGAGAGAGAGAGGAGGGAGGGATGGGAAGGTGGTAAATACAGAAAGAGTCACGTAAGAGAGTAAGCTTGACTAATGCCAGCCGGAGCCGTGGTCGTCGCGCGATCATTATTCATTTGTCAAACGATGGATCGGAATATCGGGGCCTCCACTTTCGTTCCCGCTTGTCTATTTCAGATTGGTTTGTTCTTCAACTCGAGCTACGGTACGCATAGTTTCGCGCATAGGTGGATGTAGAATGTTTATAGTAGGAATCGTTTTTCTTTTTTTTTTTTTTCAATAATTTCCCGATATTTATTCCTTTGATCGTACGTGTCTGTCTGCGTTTACGCTACACGTAATGTCATACTATAAAAATAAATTTTACAAACTACATGCGATAATATCTATTACGATTTATCAATTGGGATTGATAAAAAAATAAAATGATAAAGCAGTTTTTGTAAATAATAATTAACGAGAGATAAAAGTTTGAAAGATGAAGGAATTCCGGGAGAGAGATATTCTTTAGAGAAAAGCATTCGTAGAAGTTAGGGATAATGGTAGTAACAATAGGACATTTAGACGTACCTCCTGGAGAAAGCAGCCTCGCAGTGCGTGCATCGATATCTTCGGTCTCCTGTATGAAGCTTTACGTGTCGATCTCTGCTGCGTTTATGTTTGAATAATCTGGCACACCAGCTGCACCTGTACGGCATTTGGTCCCCGTGACTCTATGACATTAAAAGGAACGAATATACATATCGATATTACTCGTAATTGTCACGGTAGTGATTATTTATTTGCATATATCGATCATTTTTCTTAAAATAAAATGATAAATACGATACTTGACGCGTCGATTAATAATTTTGAGAAGATATTATCCATCCGGTTGTAAAGATTTTGTCCGTCAAGCAGAAATTTTTGAAAATTTAAGTGGAGGATAAGGAGGGAAGGAATTTTATAAAAATTTCGTGAAACGTGTCCGAGGAAAATAATGCCACGAAATTTTCAAAGATATATTTCGAAAAACGAAAAAAAAAAAAAAAGAAAAAACGAAATTTCGTAAAAATTTTCAAGACGATCTAAAGAAAAATTTGCGAAATTTTCAATTTTTTAATCACCAATCAGAAAAATTTCCTAAAACTCTTTTTTCCTTTTGAGGAAAAAAATCGACGAGACACGGTCTCTCAAAAATTTCTCAGAAATTCCACATCTCTTTCGAATTCTTCTTCTATCCTTATAGAAAAATCTATATAAACGTCGCGATACAGAGGTCTTGAAGAAGAAGGCGATCGCTTCGCCCTTCCGTCCGGATTGTCTCTTCAAAGGAGCCGACGGCTCGAAAGTCGTACGTGCCGAGGTTACTTCGTTGGACGAAGAAGACCGACTCGAAAAAAAGAAAAGAAAAGAAGAAAAAAAAGGAGAGCATAAAAAGAGCTGTACAAAGAGAATGACCGGCCCGTTCGCGATCATATCGGTCACACTGATCTACCTGGGTGACAACCACCGGAGGGAATTCCTCGCCGAGGAACTTTCTTGCCCCGTCGATCCTCTCTTCGCTCCTCCAACCGCTAGAAATCTCCTCTCTCGGATCTGTCATTATATTTCTCGATCATGGATGATGATTCTTTCTTTTTTTTTTTTTTTTTCTATTAACTCGATAACATTTGTTATAATTATGCAAAACTGCAAACATTTTCATCCCGTTCGGAAGTAATAATTTGGGAAAAGATTATTAAAGATTTTCCATATCCGTCTCACTTTTGAACATTTTTTTTCTCTCAAACCCTGTCTGTGAAAATTAAAGATTCGACGCGTCCCATTTCCAAAGCTATTTCGATAAACGCCTTTATACACTTCGAAATTCTCTTAAATTCGATCAATTTCACCGCTTTCGTTCGATCGATTCAACAAACGAGTAAAAGATATTCCATTCTCGTTCCGTGAACGGAAAATTTTCTTCCGATTCCTCGTAGTCGAGGATGAGATACAGGAGACAAAGAAGAAAAAGAAAAAGAGGAGGGGGGGAATATATTCGAGGCAACGAAGGAAGATTTCATAGCCCCTGAACGAAATTTATCTCCGTTATCGGCCTCGTATCTTTGCTCGAAGCGAGGCGCGATTCAGCTCGCGTATGTGGAAGCGGCTTTTATATCGAGGCTCGAAGAAGCCGAAGCACGGAGGAGAACCACCTGGACGGACAACCTGACCGGTACAACCTGTTATGGGCCACGGAACAGATTTTGACCCGAAGATGACCCGTTCGACGTACACTCGGACGCGGAAGAGAATCTGTCTTCTCTAATGCCACCGCCACCGCAAAATGGAAAAATGGAGGAGAGAGAGAGAGAGAGAGAGAGAGAGGCCACGCGTCCTTCGCGCCTCCGCTCGAGTGGCGCAACGCCCGTCTCCGCTTCGACGGATATTCGGTTTCGCTGATAGTATAAAAATAACGATTCGAATATATATTTAACCTTGAAATTTAGAGAAGTAATTATAGACGCGGTGTCATAAATATTGTATTACCCGTTTTTCCTGAATCTTAAATACGCGTATGTAGTTCTCGAACTGGAAAAAGACGATTGACGATACTATAATTTTATAAAGACCATGACATTTCAATTGTATTCACTCGTTCTAAATCCTGCCTATATATATATATATATATAATCTTCATCGGATGAAGATGAAAGATCGAAACAGATTGATTAAAAAAAAATATTTAAGATTTCACTTCTTTCGAATAAATAAGAAATTCTGTAAAATATTGTAAAAAAAAAATAAAACGGAGGAAAAGGAAACTTTCTCCAAAGGATTACATTAGGATCGATTTCCATAACGAAATGGAAAATAATAAACACGAGGTGAATTAGGTTTCGCCTTCAACCGATCGTTCTCGAACGGTTTTCGATAATCGTGGAGGGAGGGAAAAAGGAAGAAAGGAGGGAGGGAAGGGGAAAAGGAGAAAAGGTAGGTAATATAATAATCGTGGATACCTGTTCGTGCTTCTTGAGATAGCTAAGCCGGGGAAACGTGCGGTCGCAGAATTGGCAAGGGTAAGGGGCTGTCGCGTTGCTTCCGTCGGCGTTCACTCCGACGTCGGCGTCGACCTCTGGCTCCGACGGGAAACTGGCCGACGTCGGGGTCGCGCAAGACGAGGGCGTCTCGCCGCCTCGCCGCGAGTTCGGGCCGCCATCCTCGCTCTGCCACGACGAGCTTCCGGTCCCCAACGCTTCTGCAATTTAAACAGAGGGATGCCTGAGTTCGATCGAAAAGGAAAAAAGAGAAAAGAAAAGAAAACGCGCCACATCTTTTTTCTTCGTGATTTATTTAATTAGGGGAGTGGTGGATGGATATAAGGGATATAAATGCTCGCCACCTTCTTCGGTGGATGGAAATGGAATGTATACCATTTGTATCAATGTTGGAAAGGGAGGAAGTGTAACGTAATATAATGGAGGAAAGGGGGATCACTTTGGCTCGCGAAAGATTTTTGCACGATTTTTGGCGCGATGTGAGATGAATTGGCAATGATAAATAATTCGTGTGAAAAGGAACGAAAAAGTCGAGAAATTAGGGAAGAGGAAAGAAGGGATCAAGAAAAAAGAGATTAAGAAGAAGAAAGAAAGTGAAGAAAGAGGAAATCTAGGAATTTAGGAATCTAAGAGTCAGAAAAGAAAGGTGTCGAGAGAACCAGAGAAAGAAGAAACGTAGAAATTTAGGAATCTAAGAACCGGAAAAGAAAGGAGTCAAGAAGCCAAGAGACCAAAGAAACTTAAAAGAACTTAAAAACTTGTAAAAAAAAAAAAAAAATAGTAATAAAGAATCTAAGATTATAGAAAGCAAAGAGAACGGAAGAGAAATCGAAAAACTAAAAAAATCAAAGGAACCAAGAAAGAAGAAAGGAACGAAGAAAGAGGTAAGGATCTTTGTTTTGAGAAACAAATTGTGTCGATCGGCGAGCAACGTCGATGTTTCATACGCGGAACGAGGAGAGTGGCGAACATTCGTACGAGCGATCTTTTCGGGGAACAGGTTTATAAATGTCGTAAGACGAACCAGTTCCATAAATGAACCTTACGAACTCGAACAACACGTAGAAATATTACGAGAGTCTGGCTGACCTCACCTTCCCCGTTACATGTCCCTTTATATCGTTTTCGTAACGAGTATACGCGGTGAAACTGGTACCATTAACCCGTGAAGCATTGTCGAGAAGCTTCGTCGTTCATCCTCCACCAGAGGAGGACTGGTCCTTCTCTTACGGATAGAAGAAAAGCGCATTCCTCGCTCTGCAGCTTCTTCCACTTTTACCCCGATCTGTTGTCCAATATTCGCGCGGTAAACATGGTTACTGGAGTACGAGAACGTACGTCGTCGTCCAGCTTTTCTCGAATTTTTCTCGAATCGAGCGATAAATTTTTGCTCAATCTTCGTAAAATAGCAACAATGTTACACGAGTTTTATTTATTCTTGGTTAAGGATTACGATCGATAGGAGGATTAGAAAAATGTGAAAAATCGAATCGGGGATCGTGTTGGGGAGAAACGAAGAAAGAAACGACGTCGTAGACGAGGAAGACCTCCTGTGACAAAGGAGAGATCCGGACGAGTCGAATAATTAATAATTGGCAAGAATGAAGACTCGTAGCGGGTCGGATAGAGCAAAGTGGCCCTGGTAAACGGTGGAAATGACTCGGCTAGTTGGCCGTTTCCTCATTTGCCCCGATCCACACGCTGGATCCGACACCCACCACTGAATTTAACAGATTTTGCGGAATCCCGCCGTCTCTGCTCCTTGAAACGCGAGCGCGAGAGACACCCAACGAGATCGGACTCGTGTATCCGTTTAAATGGGTCGCATCCTCCGCCCACGCGTCCTCCGTTTTTCACCGCTTTAATTTTCTGGGATCGCGATTAGTAACTGCGACTTCAAACGACCGTTTAAACGATCGTTTGAACGATCGAAGCCTATTTCTGTAAATTTCTTTAACAATTTCTTCGTATCTTTCAAATATTTCTGATCTTTGCTTCTCCAAATTTCCAAATATTAGCATCCTCGAACATCCATCAAACATTCTATATTTTAAAATTCTCACTCACTTCTCAATCTCCGTACATTCTATATATTTACGTTCCTGAATTTTCACGTTCCATATTTCTATATTTCCAAATTTCCAAAAACGTTCTTCTTTTTATTCCAAAGTTTAAATTAAATTCTACGTTCTCTCTCTCTCTCTCTCTCTCTGTTTCTTCGATTTCTTTTTTCGACATTTGTACATTTGCGTCGGTGTATTATTTTGCAACTTGGTAGGAACGGCTACGATTTCTCGACGATTGCAACGAGCGTAGAAAAAAATCAGGTGTTCCTGCAATTGTGCAACATGGAGCGCGACGGGAACGGGGCACTCGCCCAATTGGCATCCAGCATGACTCACGCGCGCCTCTTCTCGAAGGGAAAAAGAGACGCGGCAGATCGGGTGAGCATGCAATAAATATAAACCGAGCTGCCGATCGAGTGTACGAAAGCACCCAGCTGATCCCGCCGCCGTCAACAATTCGGTTGCGATTGCCAACAAATCAGGATCAAGCCTTTCGTCAGCCCATTCATGGAAAGATCCGATCGTTCTTCGAAATCTTTTAAACGTCTCTTCATCCTCGACCGAAGGCCGAATTCTCCAACAACAATTTTTCTCAACAACTTTTCCCTTCCTTTTGCTTTTTTATTATTCTTCGTTATTTAAGAATTCAAAACACGCTTCTCAAAACAATAATCCATTTCTTTTTTTAAACGTGATAACGAAACGAAAGTTCTCAAAGATATATTGTCGAACCACGAAACCATTGTAGAATTCAAACAAATTTTTGGACGGATAACTTTTCCTGCGTATCATCCTTAAACCGAACGATGCATCCTCTCAAAATTTTCCAACAGATCTGATCAAATCTAAATAAGATCGATCAAAATATTTGCGAATTTCTTAAAAAGAGAAAGGAGGAATTGCAACGATTAATCTTACCTAGAATCCCGATACCCGAATCGATAGTATTGCAAGGTGAAACACGGTCTCAGAATTCTCGATTAAAATGATCGAAGCGAAGGTATGTCCGCATAAAGGTGAGGATCGGGGGAGGAATGTTTGGAGCAGAGGGAAAAAGGGGTGCGAAAACGGGGAGGAGGGAAGGATGCGAGGTCGGAGGATCGAAGGGGGTTTTATTTAGAGTCTCGATTCCGTCCAATCAGCGGCGATGTGTCATCGACGCGAAAATAGTCGCACTTAACACTGGCAGCTCTTTTCTGCGACCTGCCGATGCCAGCCGTATTGCATTGTGTTTTTATCTTGTAGCAGTGTTGGTGCGAGCCCATACAGCCTCCCTGTGGTCGCATGTGGCCGCGTATAATGTTGTCACCTCGTGCCCGTCGCTATTTATAGGACGCTTCGACCACGCTTATTAATAGGGGGCCGACTTAACGCCTTCGTTAATTGTGACTTATGCTTGCACGCGAACCTCCGACAACCCTTCTGCCCCAGTGCTTTGCGCGGATTTTTTCATCGACATTGGCGTAACCGCCATCTCTCCCGCTCCGATCTCAATATTTTTACCGAGCGATCGAAACGTTTCGCGCTCGTGTGTTTCCGTTTGGAAATTGCAAATTTCCCTTCGATCGAATCCTTTCTTTCGGGGGAGGGGGGGGGGCGAGAAGGGGTCGGGGATTTTAAGATGCGAGCCCTTGATGCTGCATTCGTATTTTCGACGATTGTCAGGATATGAATGTTTCGATGAAATTTCGACGATCGATCGAATCGTTTATTTTTAAGGGGATTTTGGTGGATAATTTAGGGATTTCGAGATTTTAAGACGTTAAGCGTGATGCTGCATTCGTATTTTCGACGATTGTCAGGGGCTCATGGAGGCTCTATGAATTTTATGAATGTTTCGATGAAATTAGAAATTTCCGCGATCGATCGAATCGTTTAGGGATTTTTTTTTTTAGGGAGATTTTGATAGTGGATAATTAAGAAATTTTTTCGAGATTTTGAAAGTGTTTGAAATTTGACGACAGATCGATTAATCGATTAGATGAAATTTGAATATTTTGATGATAGATAGTTTCAGGACAATTACATATTGATATTGACTTGTCAATTATATATCGGAAAAAAAATTTTGTTGGAACTAGGATTTTTATTTCGATTCCTAATCGAAACAATCGATAGGATAGAAGAATTTCATAATTTATTATTTCCACCTTCTATTAATAATCTATTGAATTTGTTGCTGGATCAATTTAAAGTATCTTCGCCAAATTTAATATATAAAATTTTTACGACGGTGTATAGTAATATATTCTGACAAGGGTAAACTTGATAATTGTGATCTATGATGCCCATCTCCGAGTTTTAAATTGGACAGCGTTAAATACGCTTCTTCAACTGCGAAGCTTTCGGATAATTCTATTAGACAGTCGATGATATTGTATCATCGTGAAACGCTCTTAATAGCGAGGAACTTAACGATCAATTACCGGATCAGATTGAAATTGAGGAGACGTATGAAACGAAGGGTAAACGATTGAAATACGTTCGCGTGTAACGAAAGAAAGAAAAAGTAACCAAAGTAGTCGAATAAATGAAGAGATATTTAATCGATCGTTCTATTTCTAATTCTACTGAATCGTTACAATAAAAAATCGTGCAATTTTGTAGCTAAATTATTTCCAGCTCTCGT